CTAAAAATTATTTTTAACTTTTTAGTTCGATGTGCTTTAAAAGCGTGTTTTTTTAGTTTTTTAAACTATATTTATTGAATGGCAACACAGATTAAATATTCATTGGAACAAGAAATTTGTGAAACAAAAGATATATTAATCACTATTAAAAATAACGGGGATATGCGAGTCACTAATGTCAATGTTATTATACAAATAAGTCATGTTATTCAAAAATTGCCACTTTTCTCATCTTTAGTTTTAAATAATATATTTTAGGAATTAAACACATTCATTAAATAAGATGAACAAACTACATTTTTTTCTTAGTATATACAAAAAAAATTAGCTAGTGGTAACACTGATTTATAATATACAGAAGAAAAAGAATAGTTGGTACGAATTTAGTTCGCGCGTTTTCTTTATTACTTAGTTATATAAAACTTTAGTGTGATAGTATTTTGTGAAGGATTTATCATGATGTACGCGTTGTGTTTATATTTTGTGTAGTCCGTACCGGCGTTCATATTACTTTGCTGTTGTGTATCAACCAGCCTGCTTTTATTTTTGTGGATTTCCGTTAATTATTTGGCGTGTTGTACAAGGACATAAGTTTTCATATATGTTAAACTTAAGTTTAATGATTTAATGTTGTATTGTAATATTGCTGTTATCTAATTAAATAAGTAAGATATATATCTTACTTATTTATTACGATTATAGAGAAATTTGTATTTTATTTTTAAGACTAAACAACTTAAAATAGGTTACATTATGGACAGCACTGATATGGTAACTGAAGAAGAAAATTTCGATCAAGTGAAGATTTCCACCAGTCCTAGCAAAAAAAACTTAAATAATTCAAAAACTGAAGATATGGTTAGTGAATTATATTATTTAGCACGATACTATTATATAAAATTATATGACCATTATTTTATAACTTCATAGATTTTATTTATTTTAAATGCAGTGCATAGAATTGTTAATGATTAAAATTTATTGTTTATTTACAAAATTTACAAAATAATTTATTTTTTCTTGCCAAAGTCCGTATTACGTCATATTAATATTTAAATACATTTATATGATCTGAATTGTTAAGTACTAAATTCATGACTTTTTAATTGAGGTAGCATGTAAATATAATTTGTAAAAATTGTGTTAGTTTAGAAATATTATTAAGGTATCAATTAAATTTTTTTTTTGTGAATAGAACGATTCAGAATCTGAAGAAGCTATTTCAGAACCATCTAAAGATCAAGATGAAATCTTTGGCACTAAAGTTGTATGATATTTAAATTAAATTGAAAAAAATTGAATTAAAATATATACTATTAACAAAAAAAAAAATGTTAATAGTTAAATAAATAAGGTTAATCACTTGATATACATAAAGAAAGTGTTGCATCATAGATAAGAAAGTTTTATATTGAATGTTATGTTTTTGTGTTTGTTAAATATATAGTATTTTATCATTTTTATTTACTTTTAAAAAGTAGTCTTATAGAATATTTCTAACTATTCTAATTACTTTCTACTAAAGTATTATATTGAAAATATGTGAATATTAATAACATAAGTATTAAATTTTGATATCTCATTAGTTTTCATTATTTAAAAATAGTTGGTAAAGTTTAATTAAGATTCTAATGGGTACAAAAATGCATCAACTTCTATTTATTAATTATTTTTAAATCTAAATAAAATACTCTAAGAGTAGAGACCATTTATCATATTTATTAGTTTTTAAAAGTTTCTATCTCAAATGTGTAAATTTTCCTTAATGTTATTGAATTATATCAGTATTATATAGGATTTTATTCCGGGGATTAGCACAAAAAAAATTTTTTTATACCACCTTCAAATTGTATCAAATTTTAGATAGTTTTTAGTTTGGTGTGAGGGAGTTAAGGTTAGAAAAACACCTATAAATATGCCCCAAAATAATTTAAACATTAAGTATTTTATAACTAGATTAAGTGTTATGTAATTAAATAAATGTATTTCTACATTTAAGGAGACTGATCGAGGTAAAAGGTTTGATTATCTTCTTAAGCAAACTGAGATATTCGCACATTTTATGACTACAAATTTGAAAAAAGACTCAAATACTACTGGACCAGGGGGTACGCCTAAAAAAGCAAAAGGTCGACCACGGAAGCCTAAAGCAGAAATAGGAGATTCCACAGAGTAATATATTTTAGTTAATTAATTATTGTTAATTTAAAGTAAAACCTTTGTTAAAAAAGTTTATATATGGTTCTAAAACATAAGTTTTCTTTATAGTTGGCATGATGTCAATTTATTAGTCAAAATTTGGTCAGTTGATCTAAGAGATTTTGACTGTTCATAATTTGATCAAGATAAAAAATGAAAAATCTGTATTTTAACTTTTATCATACAGCACTGTTTTTTTTGCGCATTTATTCTTTACTTTATGAAAGTTTTGTTTTAATTTTTTCCAAAGCTGGGAACTAATGTATTTGATGAGTGAAAGTAAAGTTAGTTTTACAATATAATTAGAAAATTAAATATAGTAAAATAAGTAGCTTTGGTTTTAATTTTAAATAAGTTGAATTAGTATTCAGTAGTTGTGGTTAATAGAGTATTTAGTATAGCACTGAAGTAAAATAAAATTTTCCTAGAATTTAAAAAAAAATGTGAATTGTTCTTTGTGTGACTGTCTATTTCATAAACAGCAATAATATAATTGTGTTGTTATAATTATGTGTTAATTTAACATTAAATAATTATGTGTTATTTAAGATTTAGTATTACGATGAAATGTTTAAAAATATAATTTTCTTGTTGCAGTTTTTGTTGTAGATAGTTTGGATTGTTTCATTCCTTTTAATACTAAAATTTCTTTTTATATGGTCAGTAAAATGTCTATTAGCTAACTTAACTTAAATTAAAAAGTTATTATTACTATTAAAAAAAAGTAACCTAATTGAATTTACTATTGAAACATAGTAACTTATAAATTATAATTCATCTATATTTTTTTAAATATAGCTTATCATCACATGTTAGAATAAATAACTAACTTTCCAGCCTAAATTTTAAATAGATAAAGTGTGATAGTTTATTTAATAATTATTATTTTTTTGACCATTTGACTTGTTAAAGTCTAGTCAATTAACTACAATAAATTTTGAGTGATCATAAACCCAACCCTAGCCTACTTCAAATTGAAGTCACTTAGCAAATTTTTAAAAAATTATATTTCTAAAATGCTTGATTTTAGTCATCGGCATCGCCAAACAGAACAAGAGGAAGATGAGGAGTTATTAAAAGAATCATTAGCTGCTGATAAATACATAACACAATTTGAAGAATCCCCTTATTATATTAAAAATGGAGAATTACGTGATTATCAAATTCGAGGCTTAAATTGGATGATATCATTGTATGAAAATGGCATCAATGGAATATTAGCTGATGAAATGGGTCTTGGTAAAACACTACAAACTATATCACTCCTAGGGTAAATATGATTTTTTTTATTAATTAATGAGATTTGATAATTAAAAATTTATATTATTTTCTTTATGATAGTTATATGAAGCATTATAGAAATATACCAGGCCCTCATATGGTAATTGTACCTAAATCTACATTGCAAAATTGGGTTAATGAGTTTAAAAAATGGTGTCCTACAATACGAACAGTTTGTTTAATTGGAGATAAAGATGCTAGAGTAAGTTAATTTGTATTTAATTTTTATCCAGCTTGAGTACATTTAGAAATAAAATAAACTAAGCAAATTTGTTTTCTTTAGATAATTACTTTGTAATTAGATAGTTTAGTAGTTTTATTATGATATATTGATGAGGTCATATTATATCCTATATCATACAGTATGCTATTTATCTAAAAAAGGTATGTATTGACTACATAATAACAAGTTAAGTAACAAAGCGTTTCAATGTGACACTTTGGGTCGAGTGTCCTAACCTTGCACTGTGTTAATTTTTCTTGTGATTTCCAATACATTACCTTGATGGCCGTGTCTTTGTGTTGGAAAATAGGATTTTCGATAAGATATAGAATGATAATAATAAAAAATCTTTTATATTATACTATTGATTAAATTTGATTTTTAATGTTACAGAATACGTTTGTTCGTGATGTGTTATTACCTGGTGATTGGGATGTATGTATTACTTCTTATGAAATGATCATTCGTGAAAGAGGTGTATTGCGTAAAATTCAGTGGAGATATTTAGTAATTGATGAAGCTCATAGAATAAAAAATGAAAAAAGTAAATTATCTGAAATTATTCGAGAGTTTGAAACAACTAATAGATTGTTACTTACTGGTACACCTTTACAAAATAATTTACATGAACTTTGGGCTCTATTGAACTTTTTGCTACCAGATGTATTCAACTCGTCAGATGTAAACTGCATTTTTCTATAATGTAAATGAGAGAATTAATAATGCTTTCTTTTTTTGTCAGGACTTTGATTCGTGGTTTAACACAAATAATTGCCTTGGAGACAATACTTTAATTGAAAGGCTACATGCAGTGAGTATAAAATGAACTATAAAACAATTTTTTAATTTCATGTTAATCTAAAAATTTTTTAATGGCTTATTCAAAGCAAAATGACTTTGTGTTGATGCACGAAATATTTAGGAGGGTATTTGAAATAAAAAATTTTTAAAGTAACATTTTTTCATTTAAATATATGTAGTCTAATGACTTCAAAATTCATGATTATATTAGTAATTACTAATATAATATAATACTATATTATAATATAATAATACTATATTAGAGATTATTACATAATTTCCATATTAATATTTAAATACTCTTATCTAAATATTGTTTTCGTTAAATGAAAAAACAGTTAAAATTTAATAATTTATAGTTAAGTTTATGTTTTTAGATACTCTTTTAATCAATTAAAATAAATTTCTTATATTTTAAAGAGCATTCATTTTTGTTATAGAATTGAATTATTATCCTGTAGGTTGAACTTAGTTGGTTTTCTAAGGAACAAAGGAAGGCAAGAAAGAAATATATAGACTTGCAAAAATAAAAGAGAAAAAGACTAAAGATTATCATTATATAAGGTGTATAAAAAGTGTTGATAATAAGGTACTCTCAAATGATGATAATGTGAAAAAAAGTGGAAAAAGTATTTTGAAAAATTATTGAATGAAGAGTATCCAAGAGAGACATTAGAAGATATCTTGTGTATCAAAGGACTGGTAGATTTAATTGGTGAGAAAGAGGTATGGGAGGCTGTGGCATCAATGAAAAAGAATAAATCAGTGGGGCCAGATGAAGTGCCAGTAGAAGTATGGAAAATATTAGGCGGTGTTGGCATAAGGTGGTTGAAGAAACTTTTGAATAAAATCTTTTTAGAAGGAAAAATTCCAAATGAATGGAGAAATAGTATTGTGGTGCCAATATTTAAAGGTAAAGGTGACATACAGGAGTGTGGAAATTATAGAGGCTTAAAGCTTATGAATCATAGTATAAAAATTTGAGAAAAGGTAATAGATAAGAGAATAAGAAATCAGATATCACTATCTAAAAACCAGTTTGGATTTATGGCTGATAAGTCAACAATGGTGTCAATATTTTGTGTGAGGCAACTAATAGAAAAGTTTAGGGAAAAAAAGAAAAAGCTGTGTATGGTATTTATAGATTTGGAGAAAGCGTATGACAGAGTACCGAGAGAGGTTTTTAAGTGTGCATTAAGAAAAGGAGTCCTGAAAAGGTATAATAATATAATAGAGGATATGTATGATGGCACGTGTACTAGAGTAAAAAGTATAGGAAGAGTAACAGACGGTTTTCGGGTAAGAGTAGGAGTGCATCAAGATTCTGCTTTAAGCCCTTACTTATTCTCTATAGTGATGGATGAAATTACTAGAGAAATACAAGGACAAGTGCCGTGGTGCATGATGTTTGCTGACGATATAGTGTTAATAGGAGAAAATAGGGAGGAAATTAATCAAATGCTAGAGGTGTCGAAATCAGCTCTTGAAGAAAAGGGTTTAAGAATAAGTAGGAGTATATAGAGTACGAGTGTGACAAAGGAGAACACGAAGTAGGTGAAATGAGGAGGTCAGTGACAATAGGCGAGGACATGATTGAAGAGGTGGACNGACATTATTGAAGAGGTGAAGAGTTTTAAATATTTAGGGTCAGTTGTGCAAATGAGCGGTGGTATTGACGTGAATGTAAGACACAGAATTAATTGCGGGTGGTTGAAATAGAGAGAAGTGTCTGGTGTCTTATGCGATAAAAGAATTCCAATGAAGCTGAAAGGTAAATTCTACAAGACTGAAATAAGGCCAGCTATGATGTATGGTTCAAAGTATTGGGCGGTTGATAAGAAAGTAGAATGAGTGTAGCAGAGATGAGAATGCTTAGATGGACGAGTAGAATGACTTAAAAAGATAGAATAAGGAACGAGCATATAAGAGGGAGTATAGGTGTAGCGTCAATCGTGGATAAGATGAGAGAAAATAGACTTAGATGGTTTGGTCATGTTATGAGGAGAGAACAATCAGAAGCTGTAAGAACAGTTATAGAAATGAATGTTGAAGGAAGAAGAGGTAGAGGAAGACCAAGAAAGAGATGGATGGATGCTATTGAATGCGATTTGAGGACAGCTGATGTGAGCGTAAATGATGTGGGAGATTATGTCAAGTGGAAGTTTAGGATAAGAGTGGCTGACCCTAGGTAGTTGGGATTAAGGCGAGGAAAAAGAAGAATATTTTTTTTTATTAAATGGAAACTAATTATTTAATTATTATTAATGATTCAGATTTTTTTATTTTAATTTTGATTTCCAACACAAATTTAATATTCCAAGTTTGATTCAAAAGTCTAATAATTAGCAATATCACTAACTGCTTATTTATTTTATAGGTTTTGAGACCATTTCTCTTAAGAAGATTAAAATCAGAAGTTGAAAAACGTTTAAAACCTAAGAAAGAAGTAAAAGTTTATGTTGGTCTCAGTAAATTACAAAGAGAGTGGTATGCATGTCAAAATTCTAGACATAATATTTATTAATTATATTATAAATTACTTTATACTTTAGGTACACCAAAGTTTTAATGAAAGATATTGATATTGTTAATGGAGCTGGTAAAGTTGAAAAGATGCGCTTACAAAATATTCTCATGCAGTTAAGAAAGTGTAGTAATCATCCTTATTTATTTGATGGAGCTGAACCTGGTCCACCTTACACAACAGACGAACATATTGTAAGACATCACTTAATTTTGTATAATTTTAACATTTTATTAATTGATCTATGTTAAATAGGTCAACAACTGTGGAAAAATGGTTGTATTTGATAAATTATTAAAAGCATTGAAAGACCAGGGTTCAAGAGTTTTAGTATTCAGTCAGATGACACGTATGATGGATATATTAGAAGATTATATGCACTGGAGAGGATACAGTGTTAGTATTATTAAATTTTTAATTACTTGACATATAAATACTTTATAATTTAAATCTCTTAAATTTAGTATTGTAGATTAGATGGACAAACACCTCATGAAGATCGTCAACGACAAATCAATGAGTATAATGAACCAAATAGTAAAAAGTTTGTATTTATTCTTTCTACTCGTGCTGGTGGTCTTGGTATTAACTTAGCTACTGCAGATGTAGTCATATTATATGATTCAGATTGGAATCCACAGATGGATTTACAAGCTATGGTGAGAAATTTCATTTTTGATTGTGGTGATATTTTAAGAAATAACCATGAATATGTTTTAGGATCGAGCTCATCGTATTGGCCAGAAGAAACAAGTTAGAGTCTTTCGATTGATTACTGAAAATACAGTAGAAGAAAAGATAGTCGAAAGGGCTGAAGTTAAACTGAGGTTAGATAAATTAGTTATACAACAAGGACGTTTAGTTGACAATCAAAAAAATGCATTGAACAAAGATGAAATGCTCAATATGATAAGACATGGTGCAAATCATGTTTTTCAATCTAAAGATTCTGAAATCACTGATGAGGATATCGAAACTATTCTACGAAAAGGAGAAGAAAAAGTAAAACTTTTTTTTTTCTAAATAAACGGAATACTAAGTTTAATTTAATATTTTTAGACTGAAGAAATGAAACAAAAATTGGAGTCATTAGGGGAATCATCTTTAAGAAACTTTACATTGGATGCTCCAACAGAATCATTGTATACTTTTGAAGGTGAAGATTATAGGTGAGTATTATGTTTTCTTAAATGAATTTAAAGATGTGAATTGTATGTAATTTACTTTTAAGTATTTTATAATCAAGGGAGTACTTAATAATAATTTATTGTTGATTCAAATTTTGGTACTTATGTGAAAAAAAAATATTAACTTTTAATCATGATTAAAATAATGATCACTTTTACATCTTTCTATTTCCCAAACTTAACATGCTACAGAGGGTGGTAGCCCTCTTTCATATGGGTCATTCCATGTGAAATCGCCTAATGTGTGTACCTAATATTTCAGAAATGTATGAAATTTATATCATAGACTTCTTAAAGGTCATTGACAACAAAAATATATTTTTTTTATTATTATTTTTTTTTTACCAGATAGCGCATTTTTTATAATTAAAAACATGAAAAAACAGCCTATGTTCTAGAGCTTATAACTTCATATCCAAATAAGCTATCACTGTGGAACTAGCACTGTTTTACTCATATTAAATAGTACTTCAATTTCATTCTTAAGTTTATAAATTTGTTAATTTTATAAGTTTATTAATTTATAACTTATTTGGATGTGAAGTTATAGGCTCTAAAACATAGGCTGTTTTTTCATGTCTTTAATTATAAAAAATGCGCTATCTGGTAAAAATAAAATAATATAAAAGAAAATATATTTCTGTTGTCAATGACATTTAAGAAGTCTATGATATAAATTTCATAAATTTCTGAACTATACCAGCACACACATTAGGTGATTTCATATGGAATGACCCATATATTAGGCAGTCAGAGATGATTCTTGGCTAAACCAATGATGGACTGACGATTATTATGACACCACTAACTAGAAAATCACAAGAAATATCTCATTTACATCCTTGGGAACAAACCCGGGATCCCATGCGTTGAAACATACGTTTCTACTCACTAGGTCAGGCCAACCTTAACTTTTAATTATGATTGTGTTAAATATTTTTGAATATTTCATATAAAAAAAATTGAACATTATACATCCCTATGTCGAGAAGTACTTTTAATTGAGTTATTATTAATTTTTTTTTTTAATATCGTTTTCTATTTTAGAGAAAAACAAAAGTTAATAGGAATTGGAAGCTGGATAGAACCTCCAAAAAGAGAACGCAAAGCAAATTATGCAGTAGATGCTTACTTTCGTGAAGCATTAAGAACATCTGAGCCAAAACAACCAAAGGTAAATCTAATCTTTTTATATAATAAGGCAAAAAGTGCTTTTCTGAAAAGTTACTTGCATGGTGCACAGACATTTTGTTCAACAGGATCAAGTGCTTTTGTTGAAAAAAAAATTATTGACAAAGATCAGAATTTTTTTGTTGCTTGCCCATAAGCATTTTATAATTTCGACTATTTTTTTACCCGATCCTTTTCTGAAGTATCATAAAAATATAGTTTTCATATTTGTATTGATTGGGTAAGATTATTAACTATCTTCATTGTAACTTTTTTTTCGGATGTTATATTAGTTAATAACATGTTTGGTACACAAATATTTTCCATCATTTTCTCGTAAATATATTTATAATACAAATTTTTTTGATATATTTAATTAAATTTATTGGTATATTTTATTTTTTTAATTTTTTTAATGAATGTTTGACACTAAAAATTTCATCAATTATAAGTATATAAGTTTGGGTATACATTACAGTATAATCTATTAATAATCTTATTTATTTAATATATAATGTGTAAGTTTATTGTAAAAATTGGGACTTATTTATGACAACTATGCTGTATAATGTCAAATCACTGTAATGAACATTCTTATAAAAATTCACTTTTTTTACAAACCTGTCGAATTTTTCTATAATGTTAACTAAATTATAATTAGAATATTATTAGATTCAATGCAAAGCTGAGAAGGTATTAATTTTTATTATTATTATTATTTTTTTGTGTGCCTGTTACCACATTTTTCAGCTCTCTCGAGCCGATTTTTTTCAACAATACGTTAAAAGATCACAAATCATATCTAGTCAAAGACATTAACCTCAAAAATTGAAAACATTTTTCTCGTTTCCCGTAAATAGGAGAAATTTCCAAAAAAATTACAATTTTATAAATCAATATTTTTGACTTTTTTTTCACTTTTTTTCTTAAAACTACCATAACTTTTTCAAAAATGAACAAATCAACATAATTTTTTTTTTTATATTGAAACCTTAGATATTTATCTCATTTAGATTCAATAACTTCAATAAAGATCAAGGATCCCATCACTGTCGTTGTCACTCGCGAGGTGAAATGTTTTATTCATATTAAAATTATTTTACTATATTTTAAGTTTTAGATGCGAAGCTGAGAAGGTATTTTTTTATGACTATTATTTATTTTCTCTACTCTAACTTGACCTACTTTTTTCAATAATACGTCAAATTACTACAATTCGTATCTAGTTGAAGAAATTACACTCAAAAATTGAAAAAAAATTTCTAATTTATCAATTAAACAGTTACTTATCCCATGTTCTCCATGCAGACAATTAAAATCATTCATTTCTAATGTTTTCAAAGTATTTATTGACGAATCAAGTTTGATATGATAGGTTTCAACTACAAAATTAAATAATTTTACTTTGCAATTTAATAATTTTTTAACACTATTTGTGTGTACTACTCCTAGACTATGATATTCCAAATTTTTTGGTAACATGATGCTATATAAATCATTTCTAAAAAAAATGATTGTTAGTATCTCCTGAATTAACAATGGATTTTTACAATTATAATCAAATTTTTAATTTTTAACTGAGTAAATCTTTTTAACAACTTTGTCTGTTAAGATAAAAATCTGAACGATACAATTTTTTTAATTCTCATAAAATTTTCTATTTAATGATGTCAATTTCAAACTTGCCAATTGAGCTAAAAGTTATGGTAAAATAAATACTTTTTTTTTTATTATGAACATTCACAAAAATCAACTTTAATCCCTTAAAAAAATAGATTAAATATGTCATTTTCTTATTTTTAACATATTAATAATCAAAATCAGTATAAATTTAAAATAATTTTTTTTTGTTCTTAATTGTTTTTTTTTTTTTTGTAAATACTTAGTTTTTAATAATAAGTAATAATATTAAAACTTAGAAGTGATAGTAAAAGTCTAATTGCACATTTGAAAACATCGCGAAAAGTTGATTTAGAAAAGTACATTTTTGTTTCTGATGAAAGTTCATTGTAGTCCAGTGTATAAAGCTTATAACTTTGTTAACTGTTATAACTTTATCAAAAATGACCAAATCAGTATAATTTTTTTTTATATAGATGCATGTCTTTATCTATCATTTGGTTTTTTTTTTTATATAAATCTGACCCTTTACCTGCCCACAAGAGGGATTCAAAATGATAACTTTTTTTTTTTTTTTAGTTAAAGTATATCTTAAAAATTAATTAAGTTCTGGATATTTCAATTGTAGAATTTTTTTAAATACCAAAAGTTACTTAGAAATGATTACTATGATTTTTATTTAAGTTATATATTACGATAAAAATGCAAAAAAATAATGAGCTTTTCTGATAAATAGTAATTATAAAATTTCCTGACTGCTTATTAATCTTAAAATACCATTTTTTTAATTCTTATAAAATTTTCTATTTATGATGTCAATTTGAAACTTGCAATTCAGCTAAAAGTTATGGCAACATATTCAATTTTTTTTTACGATAAACTTTCATAAAACTTTATCAAAAACTTTTCATCAACTTTAAAAGACCAAAAAAATAGATTAAAAATGAAATTTTGGACTGATTATTTTTAACATATTAAAAATCAAAATCAATAATAATTTGAAAACAAATTTTTTTTCTTTTAATTATTATTTTGTATGTAATTAGTAATAATATAAAAAAATAGAAGTGATAGAACAAATGTAATTGTAGATTTGAAAACAGCGCGATAAGTTGAAAAAAAAAGTATATTTTTGTTTCTGATGAAAAGTCCTTGTAGTCCAGTGCATTTATTTATAGTAACAAACAGTTTTTATTGAAAAATATTGCATCAAGCCCTTTAAATTTTTATACACGTATAAGTGAAGCAACATGCAACTACTTTATTATTTTTTTAATTTCTCCTTATAAATTACAATATTAAATTATTGAATATCATTTTCATATTAAATTTAATAACTAGAATTAGTATTTATTCATATATTATATTTTTAAATCAAAGAACTACTAACCAGAATATAAATGAAGAAATAGGAGATCATCATGCATGTAGCTTCTGGAATAATCCATTAATTTGTTAAAATTAAACATTATCTACAGATTTGCATCGAAGTGTTTCTAATGATATTGATTTTAATCACTGTCAAATTAAATCTATACTTGTCCCAACTATGCTTCGTCCATACTGTGTCACGACACCTGTGCTACCGTTTTTTTTTTTCAATTTTACAGTTTTATTGCTTTTTAAAAAATGTTCAACTGGGCAATTTTTTTATTTTAAAATACCTTACAAAGTTTTGCCATAGTATAAAGCCATCGATTTTCATAAAAGTTACATAATTATAACTTACATTATGTATAAAGTTAAATTTATTTTGCCTCTCCTAAGTTAAGAAAAACTATGTTGAATTTTTGAACTAGCTTAAATTTTAGATGCTTATATATGTGATGTACAGTTGCTGTGTCGGTGATGCTACAGTCTTTTACACTGGGGGGTATGAGGTTTGAACACCAACTATATTAATTACTTTTTGCATTTTTTCTTAATTCTTTTTAAGTTGGCAAAAAATTCAAAATTTATTTGATTTTTATCTCATTTAGATTATGTAACTTCAATGAATATCAAAGACCTATTACTGTAGTTTACCCTTGAGAGAAGAAATTTCTTATTCATATTAAAATTATTTTACTATGAAGATTTTTTGTGTTTGTCATTTTTTTCAGCTTTCATTTTACCAATTTTTTCAATACAAACTAGTATCTAGTTATAGATATTACCCTCAAAAATTAAAAAAATTTCCCCTTTTCTTAAATAAAATGTTGCTTTGATATATTGAATTTTGTTTTATTTATTGAAGTGATTTACTTAGATATTAATACAAAAAATAGTGATTTTGAGTCTTTCTCATAAATTTACTGTTAATAGTAATTATATAATTTCTTTAACACATATCAATATAAAAAATATGATTTTTTATTAAATCCACATAAAATTTTCTATTTAATTATATTAATTCTAAACTTGCAAGTTGAGCTAAAATTGTAATTTAAAGTTCAATATATGTAAATTATAAACTTTTATAAAAATCTCAATTTTAAAGGACGAATAAAAATAGTAACCTTAACATTTTGAATCAAAATTTTAGTTGACACCCTATACAATATAAAAGATGATCCTAAAAAGTAATAAATAAATGATAAATCAAGAATTATATGTAATTAAAAGAAACCAAAAAATAAATTTTCCAATATTGTATTTATTTTGTGAGTTGTGGTTTATCAATCTTTGTGTGTGTGTGTGTGTGTGTAATCTTCATACCTATGAAGCTACATACCTTTCCATTTTTTAAATAAATAAATATTTGTAGTTTTTTCTGCTACCTCAATTATAAACCTCAATTGAAATTATATTTATAAATTAGATAATATAAAATTTCTAAGATGACAACATAAAAGTTAAATTATATAAAATTTATTTTCTAGGCACCTCGTCCTCCTAAACAACCTTTGGTTCAAGATTTTCAGTTCTTTCCTACTAGATTATTTGATCTACTTGATCAAGAAATTTATTATTACCGTCAAACTGTTGGTTACAAAGTATGATTTCCAAGCTTTATAAGTATTATTTTTTAAATAACAATACTTCATTATAATTCCTAGGTTCCAAAAAATCCTGAATTAGGATCTGATGCTGTTAAAATGCAGAAAGAAGAACAAAAAAAAATTGACGAAGCGCAACCACTTACTGAAGAGGAACAAGCTGAAAAAGAACTTTTATTAACTAAAGTAATGAACTATTTTTATTTTATGCAAATAAAAACTTTATTTCTAAACAAAAATATGTTTTCTCTTTGAGAGACAATTCAGTAAATTAAAATATAATGATATAAAATCTTAACCAAAATTAAGTGTAAACCTGAATTTAATTTAGGGTGCTTATAAATATTCTATTTTGAAATTTTCACAAAATTAGGATTAATCTTTTTTATGGTATGTAGTTAATGAAATTGGGTTTTGGTATTTATTTGAAAGTTGAGAAAGTAATGGGTATTTAATTGATTCAGATGTTAGGATTTGATGTTAATATTCAATAATTTTTGCTTCATGAAAACTGGTAAAAGATTTAGAAAATATTTTTTTCCAATATTAAATTACTTAATATTGCTACATTACAACAAGGGTACAAAATTTATATTACTTGTTTCTTAATTATTTTATAACTTTATTTTTTTTTTTCAATATGGTTCTTTTTGAAATTCTAGCACTTAAATTAATATTAATTATAGCTACAGTAAAACAAAATTATTTTGGCTATTATTAAATATATTTTGTTTTTAGGGTTTTACAAATTGGAGTAAGCGTGATTTCAATCAGTTTATTAAAGCTAATGAAAAATATGGACGAGATGACATTGATAACATTTCTAAAGAAGTTGAAGGTATACAAAATAATTTTATTAGAATATTATTTAGTTTAATTTATAGAATATCATTATAAATTCTTTAGGTAAAACTGCAGAAGAAGTTAGAGAATACAGTGCAGTTTTTTGGGAAAGGTGTCACGAGTTTCAAGACATAGATAGAATAATGGGACAAATTGAAAGAGGAGAGTCTAAAATACAACGACGAGCAAGTATTAAAAGAGCTTTGGATGCTAAAGTAAGTATTAATTTAATTATTTTAACATAGTTTCATATTTAATATTTTTTATCTATAGATGACAAGATATAGAGCTCCATTTCATCAACTTAGAGTATCTTATGGAGCCAACAAAGGTAAAAATTATACTGAAGAGGAAGATAGATTTTTAGTATGCATGTTGCATAAACTTGGTTTTGATAAGGAAAATGTGTACGAAGAGTTAAGGGCAGCTATAAGGTACTTATGATTGTCTAAATGTTCATAATCAACTTTGTTATATCTAATTATAATTTATATATATTCAGATGTGCTCCACAGTTCAGATTTGATTGGTTTATCAAAAGTCGTACAGCTAATGAATTGCAAAGACGATGTAATACACTTATTACATTAATTGAAAGAGAAAATCAAGAATTAGAAGAAAAAGAAAGAGAGCAAAAGAAACTTCTTAAAAAAAATATGAAACCAGCTCCATCTCCTGCTCCAGTAAAAAAGAAACTTGAAAAAGTTGAGAAATCTGAATCTTCTCAGTCTGATCCTAAATCTCCAGTACCAAAAAAGAAGAAGAAATAAGTTACTGTTCATATTTTTACTATCAATAGACTATTATTTTTATGTGTAAATATTTTTTATAGTTTAATTATTATTCATCTATAATATTACTCGTACTTAATATTTTGGATTCTAAATGATATTTTATGTATATTTATAATAGTGCTTTTATTTTATATATTTAATTTTAATTACATTTGAGAATTTTATGATTTAAACATATTCCTTCAAAAATACCATAATATTAAGTTGTTCTTAATTTAAATCCCAGGAAAAAATTGCCTAGTACTTCAAACTATTAAATATTTATTGACTAAATTATTTGTATTTAAGTACATAACTTGATAAAAATGATAACATTTATTATAGCTATAGATCTTTTGAGTATGACAGTATTATTAACATGTTCATTTCTACTCAATTTTATATTTAGTGATGTGGTAAATGTATATTTGATGTGCAAAAATTCATTTTTTTTGTACTTTTTTTTTTTTTTTAATCGATTATTATGAAATTGTTAGCATCTTAGTCGGCAAATATAATAATTTTAGCACCTCAAGATTTTTTATTTAATTTGTGCATTATTTTAGGGGTGACAAATTTTAGTAATATGGTCAATGATATAAAAATTTTAGTAGTAATCATCTTGGCCTCCATCCTAACCATTTGGTTTTAACCACACTTACTTTAAATTTTCTATAAAATTTAAAGCTTAAAAAATGCAATTTTTGGGACAACTTCAAATAATGCTTCCTTGCTCCACTTACATTAACAAAAGTCTTATAATATTAAACTAGGTATGGAAATTAAAATACCCTAATTTTTCATATTGAATGTTAAAGTCATACTCGGCTCTCCCAATTTTTATTTGTTGAAGCATTTTACTTTATGTTGCCTCCCACTGAATGTTTCAAAAATACTCGCCTGTTTAATGTAGTTTATTTAGGTTTGAATAAAAAATTGTTGCTTTATTANTTAAAGTCATACTCGGCTCTCCCAATTTTTATTTGTTGAAGCATTTTACTTTATGTTGCCTCCCACTGAATGTTTCAAAAATATTCGCCTGTTTAATGTAGTTTATTTAGGTTTGAATAAAAAATTGTTGCTTTATTATTTTTAATAATATATTATACTTTATTCCAATTCATAAGTGCAAATTGAGAGGGCTAAACCCCTCCAAAATTCTAGAAAAACTATTATTTACATTATACAAAAATATATGGAGGAGGAAGATTAGATGTAATAAGCACCTCTAATGTTATATTAAAATTGAACCCATAATTTAATTTTAGAGATTGAATTTTTCAAAAGTAAGTAGTGGAGTTTATTATTTTTTTGTGATATTGGATAGTTAGGTTCAAATAGAAAATTTCTTACCAACTTAAATCGAGGATGTTTTATGCTCACTACTTCAATTTGGAGATAAATAATATAGCCAATGGAGGGTAAGTCTACTATAGTCCCTCTAGCTATGCCACACAGTGTGGTAAAACATGAATATTTTAGAAGTACAGTAAGATTAATGGAAATTAATAAGATTTAAAAACACATTCCACAAGTATAAAATTAACTCTTTTATTTAAGCAATAATCAATTACAATATTAAAACTTATTTATTACAAAAATTGTATGCAAATTTTTATTATAACTTAGACGAAAAAAAAATTTTAAAGATTTTATTATATTAATTGTACAACACCTATTTTTACAAATTCTGACACTGAGCTGTAAGGCATTAAATGTTGAGACCCATTTTCTAAAACAATTTCTTCTTCCCTACCCACCAATAAATTCTTGATAACTACACTATCAATATGTTTATTACACTTTAAAAACACAAAACTATTTAAGTTAGATTCAATGACCTTTGTATTTCTGTCTAATTTGTTGTAAAATTGAGGCATATGACGAAGTACTGTTTCAAAATGATTGTCAGCATTCTGTGCAAATGCTTTAGCAAATTGTAATTCAGCTGGAGATAAGTATGCATCTTTTGTACTACGGTTAGCTTCCTCTTCCAAAATACTGATACAAAAGCATTCAATTTTTTTTAATCTAGTCCGTAAGTAACTAGTTATTATAAACCTTATACGTTCCAGTTCAAGTTTATGCAGGTCTAATTTTGGATTAGACTTTGACAACTCTGCTATATTTCCTTCCATTTCTTTAATTTGTTCCAGTAAACAGTCTACATAATCTGATTTATGTGGAAGTATCTCTGGACTAAATTTCTCATTTAACCAAGCTTGTTCAACTATCTGTAGGACTTTTTGGGCAGTTAATTCTTCTTGTGAATCATCTTCATCTTCTTCAATCAAATCAAGGATGTCAATGTCCATGTTTATTCTAAAATAAAAATGTGATATCTATCACTGCACGAAAACTAAAATTAAAAAAATGTATACCAAGGTGTGCATAAGTTAGTTCTAAAATAAAAATAAATTTTTATCATTCAAAAAAGAAAAATTTTATTGGTTTTCACAAATAAAAATTGTTATTACATACTAAATCATGAAATAATAAATACATACATCATCAAAATATTTGAATTTTACATCAAAATATATTCAATTATATTGTAAAATTATTATGTTTTTAACTTAATATTTCTTTCTAAACAGCTTTTATACTGTCAATAAGTGGACCCTTAAGTTTTTTCATTTTATGAACACCATCTGGATCTAACTTGAAAATACTATCAATTACAGATATTTCTGTAGATGTTGTATCTGTACCACAAACTGCACACCAATCATTGACTACCATTCCAGCACCAATAACATCTGAACCACGGTTAACTGTGCCAGCTACCAAAGGAACCTGTATAAGACCAGATAATTCATCTAAATCTTCAACAGTAGTTTTAGGATGCACTAATCCACCTTGATTAGAAATAGCACAATACGATCCTACTAGGCAATTTGAAGCAACTGTTTGTCTGTAAACTTCAACATTTAAGGTGTCTGAAAGAATTTCTTCAGTATCCTTGTCTAAATCGGGATGTACTAATGCAACATAATCATTGCATACCATTACATTACCAAGAGCTGATAAACGCTCTTCTACACGTTGTATTTTTACACTATCTGGTAGAGAGTTACGAATGTGTTGAAGTTCAGTATCTGTTGTAGAATTAGGTACTAATAAGCCATTTTTATTGCCAACAGTCATTCTACCAACAATACGACAGCCAGCAACAGATGCATGAATAACTGGTATAATATCTGATAGTTCAGATTCAAATACACTATAGAATGTTTCTGAAGCACCAATCCCAACCAAACAATATGAATTTGTGAGTTTGCTGAATACACCAATTTCATTATTATTTTCAAATTGAGCACGAACTGCCATCTTTTATATAATTTTTTTCCAATTAGCCCTATATAAAAAATTAAAATATCACCAACAATCATTAAATGATTTTATCATACAATTTTTAACAATTAAAGAGTCAATAATTACACAATTTAGAAAAATAAATACTTATAATTTAATTTATATATATATATAAATATATATGAAAAAAACTATTAAATTTATAAATTTTATTTTATCTCAATTTTAAACTCTTATTTTCTTTCCAAATAATTATATGATTTAGTGTATCTGATTGTAATGTGTAATTTTACATAGACAAAAAGAAAATGTTTTTAAAATATATTTTATTAGTTTATACACTTTAAAGGTGAAATATCAAATATAAACAAATGTTTTTTTCTAAAAAATATAGTAACCAGTTAATGTCTCTAAGGTACTAATAGATGGAGACAAAAAAAAAAAAGTTAATTTTACTTTATATAATAAATGATAAAAAATAAATGTTCAATTTTGAAAACACGAAACTAAACAATAATAATTTATTATCTACAAAATTAAAATATTTGATTAAAATTTTTAACATGACATTTTTAAGAATTATGGTATTTAATGCAAAAAATTATAATACTAAAAAAGATAAATTTTCTTTTTAAATGCTTTATAGGCCCATTAAGAGCCGTAGCGTCCTCTACCAAAGTAGGAGGTTTCTTAACTATTGATATTCTAGGTCAGGTGTTTAATCTGTCATCAAAGAGAGGGATGGCAACTTCAATTACCAAACTGATTTCTCGTTTGGTAAATGAAGCCACCCGTGACCAAGTTTTAAATCCAAGACAGTGCACATCAAGCACTTTCACATTACCGACTCGGCCACACTGTCCCTAAAAATTTTTTTTTTAAGATACTTATAACTGATAGTATCAAATTAAAAGGATTTTGGCAATTTTAAGAGTATATTTTAAATATTTTAGACATCTAAATTTTTATTTATTTAAAATAATAAAAAAAAATACCCGTGTGTTAATTATAACACACTCCTTCATGATATTTATGTGAAAGAAATTTTAAAATACCAATTCTTATAATTTTTTTTAAAGTTTTTTGTCCTTTATAATTTTGAATATATAATCTTTGCGATTTAGGTTGACAATATTTTAAAATATAACACTAAGTAAAGTAACAACAAAAAAACAGAATATGAAAACAATTTTTTTTACTTTATATTATCATAAGAATATGTTACAAACAACTTTTTTATTTTTTATCTGACAAAATATACAAATCTTGATACTATGATTTTATTACATAGAACACAATATAACATTTCCAAAAGTACTCTAAATGTTATAAAAATAAAAAATACAGAGATATAACAAATAAAATTTATATTTACAATTCAATATTTATTGACGTTTTTACAGCATTTAATAATACTAAAACAAACATAAGCTACTTTTTTCAAAAATGTCAAATTGTTCCTCATTATTTTCAAATAATTTAAATAATAATGAGATTCTAGCTAGTATCTAAATTTAATATATAAAACTTACCAAATTAAGAAAAAGTAAATTAATAAAAACAGTTTTGAAAATTTGTAAAGAATTATAATAACAAATAATGTGATCACATAATTTTTAGTGAAAATATTGAATTGAAATGTATTATTTATTAAATCAATTTAAGTAAATCATTAATATTTTATTTTTAATAGGGTGTTACGGACATCACTAATATATTTCTATTAAAAAATATACAAATTTAGTAAGTAAAATTATATTTGATATTGCAACAAACAAGAATATGAAAAATTCAAATTAAAGAAAACTCAAATGGCCGGATATTAAATATATGAAATCTCATCTCAAAAATGGTATAGAGTACTACAAATATCTATATTATTTAAACTAACATTGATTCAATCAATCACAAAGACTCAAATCTTATTGACAGACTATCTAGCACTTACAAATCGGTTTGAATATTCAATAATGAAGTTATACTATAAATACATAATACTATCTACTTCATTTACATTATAAATATTGTTACTTACAGTTAAACACAATTTTGATCTAAAAGAAATCCAATTCCACCAATGATTGTAACAGTTTCTCCGACGCCTTCTATTTATTTTAGATGAGTTAGTGTTTGGACGTTCTCAGAAAAGTTATATATGACTAGTATGGCTAATGATAAAATAATCATAAGCCCACTATGTTAGTCACATTGATATAATAACCTTAAAATATATACTGGCGTCCAGAATTTTTAAACATGTTATTATTTGCTTAATAAATGCGGAGATAAGTATACAAAATTGTTTCGTACTCAACTTCATTTTTACCGGCTATGAGAACTTATATCACAAAACTTCATTTGTTGACAGTTATCAGTGTATTATGATTTTGAGATAGTCCATAATAAATAGATAATTTTTGTTATGTATATGAATGATAAAGATACACCAAATAGTCAAAATTGAAATAGGTATCTCAATGTGACGTGTCTTTATTTATTATAATTATATAAATTTTTTAGAATTATAATTTATTAATTAATTTTAACCGTTATTTTTTAATATTTTATATATGATCAAATTTAATTACATATTGAGCCATTATGATGTAATGAAATTATAAAATTTATTTGTTTTTTAACAAAAAAAATAATTAATTTTAACATCATATATTTTGATGAAATACTGACTTTTCTTATGTAAATCTTTAATATTTATGAGTCAAGCATCAAGTTTAGTTTCTATAGCTGGGAAATCAATGGAAGATGGTTTACACTCTTTCAGGGCCATTGTTTTTTTGGTCTTGTGGTACTTTTTTAGTGGGTGTACATTATTCCTTAACAAGTATATTTTATCTTATCTTAATGGAGATCCTACAGTTTTGGGTAAGTTATTTATTTATTTGATTAACTTAAAGATCTTTGATTGGAAATTATACAATTTTTCAGGGGCTTTTCAAATGATCATGACTACTGTTTGTGGTTTTATCCAATTGTATGTGCCATGTGGTATGTACAAACAACCTATTCAACGATCAAAACGACCTCCTAATTTTTATATTCACATGTGTCTAGTTGGTTGTACAAGGTATGACATACTAATAATATTATTTTCTTATAATGATACATGTATTTTATTTTGTTATATTTTCAGGTTTATTACAGTTCTTTTAGGATTAATTTCATTAAATTATGTTGCCGTAAGTTTTACAGAAACTATTAAGAGTTCAGCACCTATATTTACTGTATTTATTTCTAAAATATTATTAGGTAAGATAAAAATGTATTTTTATTTATCTATATAACTAATTAAAGTACAACATTTTTAGGTTTATTTTAAATATTTAATAATTCTTTTATTGATCATACTCTTTTAAATTAATTTTTCTGTATGTAAAATATATTTTAAAAAATAATTTAATAATTATAACTAATTATTTGTAGGGGAACAAACAGGTTTTCTAGTAAGTTTGTCTTTAGTTCCCATAATGGTAGGCCTTGCATTGTGTTCATCTAATGAACTTTCATTTAATATACCAGGATTCATTGCTGCTCTTGCAACCAATTTTACTGAATGGTAAATATATTAATTTATACAATTTTTTTCAAAATCTGTAATAATAAAGAAAAAAATTGTTGGTGTCTATTAACATATTCTGCCTACATAATCAAAATAGTATCATTTTATAAAATTATAGTTATAGCATCTAATTTATTTAAAATTCAAAAAATAATGATTGTCATTTAAAAAAAAAACAATGTCCAATAAGATAATTCAGCTTATTTACAATTTGAAAATACCTGAAAATTTTGAACTTCTAAAAAGAAGTTTATTTAATTTTCTATTTGATAAAATAAACATATTTTGGAGAAAAAATGTTCATAATATCAAAATTTAATAATTATTAATTTTTTAGTTTACAAAATGTTTATTCTAAAATGTTAATCAGTGGTGATAAATTTAAATACACGTAAGTATACTAAGATAATTATAAAAATGGTACACTAATATTTACAATATTTTTATGTTTAGACCTGCTGAATTACAGTACTATACGAGTCTAGCATCAATTGTAATTCAAATACCTGTTTCATTAGTATTAGTTGATTTGAAATATGCTTTTCATAATACTAGTCTGCATTTATTATTTATGTTTATATTAAATGGATTATTTTTCCATTTCCAAAGTATTACAGCATATGTTCTTATGGATTATATAAATCCTGTTACTTATAGGTAAAAAATTATTTTTATCTGAAATATATTGTTTTTAATTATAATATTTATCATGTATAATGTATTTTATTTAGTGTGGCTAATACTGTCAAACGAGCCTTTTTGATATGGATGTCAGTACTTCTTTTTGGAAATTCAATCACTATTTTAAGCGGCCTTGGTACTATCATAGTAGTTATTGGTGTTGTTATTTATAATAAAGTAAAGCAATATGATATCAGTCGACAATCATTTCAAGTGAGTTACTTCACTTGTAATTTAAGTTATGATAAAATAACAATACATTTATCATGGAAAATAGTGTATTGAATAATCTAAATGTATTAAAAATACCAGTGTATACTGGTCTGAGCCTAACTATAAGTTTTCTCCAATTTTATAACATTCAGGCAAGCAGGCACATATTTAGAATTCATTTTCAGAGGGACTAAAATAATTTTATGATATATATTAATTTTGATAAATTTTTATTTATTTTTTATCAAAATTCTTAAAGAGTAACATTTTTCGTCTAAAATTTGGTGGTCACAAAAATTTTAGGGGGAATTCAAACTTTCATTATAATAACCTTGACTTGGAGGTTAAAAAGTATACAAAAACAAAAAAAAAGTGATTCATTCAGCTATATATTAATATAATTTTTCAGTTAGTTTAGAAAATCAAATAACTTTAAAGATATGTTAAAATTTTTAGATTTTGTTGAATACTATTAAATATAATTGTTATTAATTTCAGGAAATTGATAAAAAATTACTACTTTCTCCATTCAAAGTCAGGACGATTTGATACAAAAACTAATATATTGAAATTAATGATAATGTACATTTTTTAAATAATTATGTTTGACAAAAATTGATTGTTACCTATTAAAAATAATTTTATTATAAATTACAATGCAATAACACTGAAAATGTGTTCTATTGTGTATTTATTATAACTTAAACTATTATACTCAAAGCATGCATAAGGTATATTGTTCCCTAGATTAAGTTATTTGAATATCTTTTTTATACTGAAAATATAGTGAGACATTATTGTCAATCGTCTGTAATATAGCCCAGACAATTGCCCTTACATCAGTCCTAATTAAATTTCTTTTGGATTTATTCTATTAGTCACATCAATTGAATAAATTTTGTATTATGGTAGACGTTATTTATTAAAAATTGTTTTATTTTAATCTCAATTGATAAAACAATTAACAAGAAACGAAAAGTTATTATTGCTAGCCTAAGATTTTAAATAAATCAATGATTTTAAAATTACTAAATCAAAGTTCAAGTTGTTTACATGAAATATAGTTCTCACTTACTACAAAACGGATTTTTGTTTTGTTTTTTCATAATTTAATAAGTTAATGGATATTAATTTTTTGAATAGCTCATGTAAAGTACAATTGTTGTTTTCTTTAAAGAAAATTGAGACAATTATTGAACATCCAAGTGAAAATATGTAGTTCAATTTTTTACAATTTACTAAATATCATCAGTGTTTTTAATTTATTTTACAGACATTATCGTCAAATGGCTATTTGATAATTTGGTGTAACCAACTTTATAACTACTCTACTAATCAATGTGATTAGATTGAATTATTTTCATTAATTTATTAAAATTATTTTATCTAGGTTGATAAATCTACCTAGGATTTTATAACAACGTAACTAATGTCATACATGTTCATTAATATAAAACGAGTTTTTTGTTGAGTTTTCTTAAGAGGTCTATCAAGGTAATAGGCGTATACAGTTTAGACAACAGAAAATATAAATGTAGTTGGCGGGTCTGCAACTACTGATATTTCCCCTTATTCACATGACAATCTAGTTTGCAGTGACTGCATCGTGCGTGTTGTTAAAATTTCTTTGAATGCAATATGGCTGTATAATACGTCAAATCATTTAACCATTTTATATCAATTTTTTATTAAAATATTATTTACTTCTTTACGTATTTATAATATTATTAACTTTTTTTTTATTATTATAAATACTACCGCTTTGTGTTATCGTATTTATTGTTAGTGTATTAATTATATTTTACACGGTAGCTTATTTTTGCCGCGATACCGGAATTTTGTATATATATTTCATATATACATAATTTGAGCCCAACCCAAGTTGACGCTGGTTGTTGCCGCCGCCGCCGCGTTTAACAGCCGTAATTAAATTTTTTATCCATCTCGATCGCGTTACATTTGGTTTATTCATCGTTGTGATGACATCTTCTCGGTCGGCTTGTTCGTCGACGGATCTCGATTGATACGAAAATGTACGTCGGCTGTTTAGTCATATCTCTTGAAATGGAAAACTTATGAGGGTATAGCATTAAGTTTTAGCCTTGCACGAATTGGCTCTAGCATGAATACCCGGGGTCCGAACCAGAATCATCAGAGACGAGTCGATCCAAATATGTATACAAGTAAGTACAATATTTAAGTTGTATTTTTTAAATTTGTCTAACACACTCGTTGGAATTGTTCATATTCAAACTAGTTATCAACTTAAAGATACTAGATAGTTTTCGGTATATTGAAGTATAATAGTTTATCTTATTTGAATTGTGATCTATGTTTCTACATAAATACATTGGAAATTGAGCCAAATAACACTATAATTAAAGCTAAAATTATAGACAAACATTGAGTTCAAATATTTAGTTAAGAAACTATAATAATTGTGAAGAATACATTAAGTACTGGTTTAATGTTCATTCAAATCAAATACTATTAATTTCCACAGAAACCATTTTTATAGAATTAAAATATTAGATAGTTATATTTTGGTGATAGTATTTTATATCAAAAAATTGTTGATAATATTATTTTGTGTATAGTAATACTTATATAATACATTTTTATAAATTAAATTTTTGATTTTTGTTGTAACAAAACCTCACAAACAAATGGGTAATACAAAATTTTCAATTTATTCTTTTATATAATAGTCAAAGTTATCATTTATTTAAGAATTTGATAATTTACTAATAGTTGAACTACTTATTATTTAATTATTTCTAAAATTTTAAATTTATTAGCTACTAGTATTTTTACACTAATTTTATTTTTGTTCTAATAAAATATATTTTATATAAGAATAATTAAACTTTTGAGTTAAATCTTTTATGTTTGTATCTTAAAATTAACAGATTTAGTCTAAATTCTAATTTTTTCTCTTATATCAAATTATAATAAATTTGTTTTTACTTTTTTTATCATATTATCTCGTTTTTAATTTTCTTATTATATTATCTAAAATACATTTTAATAACTTGATAAGATAATTTCTTTCTGCAATATTTTTTTCAAATTGTTATTATGTAAGTATAAGAAACATTTTTAAATATTTAATGATAGTTAAACATTTTATTTGGTTAATTGTATTTAAATTTTATTCAAGTGTTAACCTAGATGCCAATTCTGGATTCCGTCTGATAAAATTCTAGGAAGGGACAAAACCATTTTTTTAGTCAACAATAATTTTTTTTTATACATTTTAAGGAAAAATTTATACAAAGTCTTAAAATATTTTTTCTAGAATATCAATATGTGTATTATTTTAATATTTATTATAATTGATTTATTTAAAGAAAGTACTTAATATTTAAGGGCTCTTTAATTAACTTAAGGTTGTTATATAATTTTTTAATTTGGTAAAAAAAAAATCAAGGTTGTTATGAAAAGAAATATATATAACATATATAATCATATATGTATAAATATTTGTACATAAAAAGTTTATATTTTAGGTACATATATCATACATATGATATAAATGTAGTAGGGGTTTACAGCTGTTGTGTCAACTATTATAAGAATGGCAATATGAGTAGTAGTGGTTATGCCAGCATGGCAGCCACGTTATTTTCAAGTGTGTTAAAAACTATCAACTTATTATTAGTTGAATAACATTAAATATTCATTAATTCTTTTTACTTTAAACATTTCACAATAATTTACTTATTTTTCTTTAAGTGAATCAAAAAACTAACATTGTGCCATAGTTGTTATTTACCATGTTAGATTCATTGTTGTACTATGAATGGTTGTGTATATAAATAAAATTGTAATGATTATTTGTTATTATTAAATTTAACAGTTCTCACTTTTTACAAACGTTATATTTTTATTTAGACATAATTTATAAGGAATAAATCATATCTTAGAATTATTTTTTTATTAAATAAATGTTTGAATTAACCACTTTAATTCTTATCATATAAGTGATATATATTAGTGTTAGCTGTTAATTAATATTTATTTTTTAGATCCAAATCAATATAACCATACACCTACTGCTACAACCAATCCGAGGTACTTAATAGGACAACAACGCCCTAGTCACTATCAATTAAGTCAGGCAACTCATAATATTGCTGATATGAAGAATAATAGTCATATGCCTAATATGAGCCATGGTAATCATATTATTCTCTAATTTTTATTTATATTACTTAAGAAAATCTATTTTTTTTGTAATAGGCCAAATTCAAATGGTTCAGCATATACAACCTCGGCAGACTCAAGTTAGTACCATTTTCATTTTATATTTTAACTGTAACTTATATATTACTATTCATTAATTGTTCATTTTCTGAAACTTACTAATCTAACTTCAAAAATTGGGGCAAATATATGTTAATAATATCAAAATATAGTAAAGTATGTATACTTACAAATACCTATTCTATATTATTTAATTATATTGAAGTAAAAAATATATATGTATGAAAGAATAAAGTTGGTAGATGATTATAATTTTTACTACTGATGGTAAATCATTAAGTAATCAAAGTAAAATTAAGTAATCAAATGATTTAAAAAAAAAAAGGAAAGTCATTGTAGCCTTTATAAATTCATAGCGCGAAAATTATCATACACAATTATATAATCACTCTACTTTTTAACTAAGTTAGGGTAAGTAATGTAATAACATTCATTATCTTTCATATAACTTGGAATTTAATTGAAACTGAATTCTTATTTAAATTTAACAATGGTGTTTGAAAATAGCTTTTAAATGGTAACCGTTTTCTTTTTTTTTATGTGTGGTGTTAGTTTTAAATTTACCTAACTAACTGACAAACCTAACAAATTCTAATTGATTATTATTTTTATAATATTTAAAATTGTTAGACTTTTGCACTATTTCTAGAAAGTTTTTAATAGTTGAGAATTGATCAATAATTAAGTTATAAATCTTGTTATAGCACAAGAGTTAAAATAATATCATTACATTTTTGTCATTGATTTTTATTTCTTTGATAATCCTGTGTATAATTTTAAAACATGTTTGTATTTGTGTTAAAGAAACAATTATTAAATTACAATTTTGTTTTTTCATACACTAATAAATAAGTTAGATTGATTATTGTGGCTCTTAACTGTCCATAAACTAAACCAAATATCAATTTTTGTGAAATGAATAAAAAATGTAAAAAATTATATTTAATTATGGATTTGGACACAATTTTCTTAAAATTCCTATCCCACAAAAAAAATTTATTTTTATATATTCATACATGCATACATACAATGTATTCACTAACTATTTCTCATGTAATATCACCCACTTAAATTAATACAAAAAAAATTCTTTCCCCTGTTTTTTCTCTTTAAATTATATCATATTTAGTTAAGTCTGATAACAACTATTAAATCAGTAGATCAGGCATTATGATAAATTTGATACCTTGAAAGAAGAAATAGCAAAGCAGTGAAATACATCATTGTGTAAAATAACATAACCCTTGCATCACCTCTATCTTTAAGTGTTAATAATTTTTCAAGTAATGGTTCAAAAGTTGTTATAGATCAGCCATATAAAATCAGCTTATAAAATAAGAAGATAATCTAACATATTTTGTTAGCCAGTTAAAAAAGTTATTTGAAAAATTGAAATAATATAATTTTAAGTGGATAGAATGATATTTTTTGTGTTAAATAATTTAAAAAATAATTATATTTTATCTTTTACTTTTTAAAATATTGCATGAGATTTGGTTCACTCTCTGTGTATAGACATACTCTGTATATAGGTGTTCAAAAAGTAAGGAAATGGGTCAGTTGTTACAAACAATAAGAATAATGGGAACCTGTTTCCTTAATTATTAAACACCTTTATATTCGTATGTGTAATAAAAAAGTTATCATTAAATTATTTGCAAGTTTTTATCTACTACATATTACAAAATAACTATCTTGCTCACATTAGATACAATTTCTTAATTGTTAAATTTTTTTCCATTAATGATTTTACCTATTAAGATTATTTTGATTTAATTATTAAATGTTGATTATTAAATTAATCTTAAGTGTGAAACTGGTTTTTGTATAGGTTACACTAACAAATAACTTATTGCACATGACACAAAAATTGAAATTCTAATGTGTTTTGTTTTTAACTATGTTCTAACATAATTCTCTAACCAATTTTTGTAATATATATTAATTGCTTGCTTTTTGTGCTCAGCTTTCCCACCATATAAGATCAAATGCACCACGTAATTTACCAAGAGGACCCTTTCAATACCAGGTAATTTTCGTAACAAATTACCGATATAGGTGAAAGATGTAACATTATCAATTAGTTAATTTTTGTTTTAAAAAGAAATTAAATTTTTTAAGTAGATTTTCTAAAGTCAATTGTACAACTATTTGGGTATAAAATATTATTTTAGTTAAATGAACTGATTATTAGCTTATTCCTAATTCTTATTATGTACCATATATAATATTTATTTTATTATAATAAAACTTTTTTAACAAAAAAATTGGTTCATACACTATTGAAATACTATTTTTTCCTGAATTAAAAAAAATGTATGTTAATCACAATTATTTTATGAGTACTTAAATTATTATTCTACCTATTTTGAAAAAAAGTACTTAATTATGATTAACTTTACATCTGTCTTCTCAAATGCTATGTTTTTTTTATGCATAAATTTCTTAATGCTTATTGTAACTTTCAAAATANGTTTTTAATAGTAATATAAATAAACTACTAATAAAATATTTTCTAAATCAAGTAAAAATATATAATAATGATTAACATTTTATATAAAGTTATTAATTAATACTATAAAAATAATTTTATAGTATTTACTTTACATTAGCTCTTTGTTAAAAAAAAGAACTTGTTAACATTAATTTAATTTCATAGTAATTTTTATTGTTGTTGCATTTATTTTAATTTTAGGTTTATCATATGTTTGAAATTAATTTTATCCCTCATGATAGTTTTTTTTTATTTTAGGTATATTTACCTGCAGCACCTTACCCAAACACTAACCATGCCACATACTTTCCGTACTCACCTCAACAGGTATATACTTATTTTTTTTTTAGTGAAATAATTCCTTTTTTAGTTAACTTTAAAATTAAATTTTTTTTTTGTTTTTTATCTTTCATGGTAATTTTTTTAATTTGTTTTTACTTCAGATAGCCTAATTCTGATCAAATTAATTTTATATGATCATGTTTTCTCTCTTTTCGTATAAAAAAAAATGTTTGCTTTCTTTACTTAAATTTAACTAAAATAAATGTTTTATTATTTAATTTATAATTATCTTCATTAAATTTTTTTTTTAATTCTTAAAAACATTCCTTATTTTAATAATAATATTTTTGTACCTTAAAATGTATTAATTATCTGTTATCAGGCTTCACAAACAGTACTTATGACAGCAGGGCCATACATGCAAAATTTTCCTGCTAATCAACCACGTATGTAATAATATTTTTATTTATATTGTTGTTTTTAGGTAAAACTGTTTAATTTATTTAATTTGGTTAAATAATTTTAAAATTTTTCTTTGTTTATACACAACGATTAGGGCACAAATTAATCATCAATAAGTTTATTTTTAATCATATAAACACACCATCACACTACCGATAGTATATTTTTTTGGCCAAAAAATGTTTAGAATTTACCACTTTAGTATGATCTTTATTTTAAAAGATTATGAATACATAATGAATCTTTTTTTTAAATTGAAGTCGCTAGTACTATTGAATAAAAAGTGTTTATGATTAATAATAAAACAATTATGATAAAATTTTATATTTATCATTGTATTAAAGCATAAATATTTTTAATGAAATAAATCAACAATTTTGTAGTAAATAAAATAAAAATTTTTTTAAGTAGCAAATAGTATGTTTTATTCTGCAACACCCAGTAGACCCATTCAAGTGTCTAATATACAACAGGGACCACCTAATCCTCCTGTAGCCAATATGAGCAATGCTCAAAATACACACGGACAGTCAATGATTGTTCAACCTCAACCTATGGACATAGCTGCTAATTCACAACCTTTACAAGTACCTCAGCAATCATCTGCAACACCAATACCTGATAGACCACGAAGAAAAGCTATAAAAATAATTGATCCTAATACAGGGAATGAAGTTGATATAAATTCTGCACAACAGTCAGCCCCAGTTAGTTTGACATTAATTTCTTTTTAAATAAATAAAAAATATTAAAACTAATGTAATCTGAAATAAATTTAAATTTAATTTATGTGTAGAGTGCTGATGAATTAGAAAAAATGAAAGTTCAAAGCCAATTTCAAAGTCAGGTACAGAGTGCCGTTAAAAAAGATGACGTCAAAATTGCAGATAATAATCAGGTAATAATTGAATATTTTAATCTATATATATAGCTTTGGTCATCTACTGGGCGCGATAGGGGTTTAAAGTAGTTTCCATTAGGAAAGTTCATTGTCCAGAAATATTATTATTAACTCTAATAACTCTTTATAATCGTCTTTTGGATGGTATAAGTCAAGACGATCCTTAACAAAATTAAGCATGTTGTTATAAGTGTAATGTATGATACCAATAATTTTAGTGTTATCATATTGTGTTGTAGTTTGTGTATCGATAATGTGAATAATACAGAATGTGATATATAATGGAATAAAATGTATTATTAAAATTTAATGTGTTCTTTTTAGCCTTTTTAATCCTATTATATATTATATGAGTTGAATATATTACATTGTTAACGAAGAGGTTCAGTGTACGTGTTTATGTTTTTGTTTAAATAATAAGTATGGCATTACAGAATAATGCAGCTGTAAGTCCACGTGTTTGCATAGGACAACAAATGGGACAATTAGCAGAACTTAATCTTAAAGAAGACAATTTTATGCATGGATTGAAAGGTTTGAATTATACGTAACATTGAATGGAATTAATGTGCACAAGCAGCAGTTATTATTTTCAACCTTATTGGGCAATAAAGGAAATTCTTTAATTAGAGATTTGTATACACCACAAAAGACTAGTGAAAAAAGGTATGAGGACCTTAAACAATTATTGATGAATTATATGAATCCTAAACCGAATCATATTATTAAGCGTTATAAGTTTATAGAATGTAAACAGTCGGATATCGAGTCAATCATACAGTTTGTTACTAATAATTTGAAGAAAATGTCAGAACATTGCAAATTTGGTACTTCTTTGGACGATTGCATGAGGAATTAAATAATATGTGGTATCAAGGACAGTAATATAAAAAAGAGATTATTGTCTGAAGATAAGCTAACATTAAAGAAATGTGTGGAAATTTGTCTTGCTATGGAATCAGCCAACAAGGATGTTATCAAAGTGGATTGTGAGAAACTTAATTATCAAGGAATCTCCAGGAAGAAAAAACATAAGTTACTTCAAAAAAAGTCAGGATAAGGACTTTGCAGCCAAGTCAGAATCAAAGAAGACTACTTATTATTGTTGTGGACAAGTAGGACATACTAAACCGTTTTGTAAGTATAAGACTTACACTTGTAAAAAATATTCTAAAGTGGGACATCTTCAGAAAGTATGTAAGGCCAAAACTAAAAATGTTAATAGCTTAATAGAGGAATTTAAAGACTTAGATGACTAGACTTTTTTGTAAAGCTAGAGTATTACCATTTTCTCTTAAGGATAGGGTAAGTACTGAATTAGAAAGGTTAATTAAGGCAGATTTGCTTGTGCCTGTAGAATCTAGTGATTGGGCTACTCCCATAGTACCAGTTGTGAAACAGGATGGTTCAATTAGACTGTGTGGAGACTATAAAATAACTTTAAATAAGTTCTTAGAGGTTGACAGATATCCTATAACTAGAGTATCAGATTTAATGAGTTTATTTCAATGCGGTGCTAAATCTTTTATGCTAGATTTGTGTCAATCGTATCAACAGTTAATGCTTAGTGATAAAAGCCAAAAGTTGACTACAATATCCACTCACAAAGGGAGGAGTATACATGCTTAAAAGATTACCATATGGTATTGCTTCAGCTCCAAGAATTCTTCAGAAGGAAATGGAAAAATTATTAAATGGGTTATCAGGAACTGGTTGTTTCTATGATGATATTGTTATAGCTGGAAAGGATGATATAGAAGTTAGGGCAAGATTATAAAAAGTGTTGGAGAAACTGAGTAATGCGGGGTTAACAGTTAAAAAAGAAAAGTGTAAATTTTATCAGGACAGTATTACCTTTTTAGTTTATAGTATTGATAAAGATGGTTTGCATATACCTAGTGATAGAGTTAAGGTAATAATAGCAGAACTTTTGTTTGATTTATTAAGAAGAAAAGCTAAATTTCATTGAAATATAAAATAAAAGATAGATTTTGATAAAATTAAGAACTCTATAGTATCTAGTAACGTTTTAGTACACTATAAAACTGAGTATGAGTTAGTGGTTGCTTGCGATGTGAGTCCTAGAGGAATTGGAGCAATTTTATCCCATAGATTTCCAGAAGGAACAGAGAAGCTAATTGTTTTTGCTTCAAGAACTCTAAATGGAAATGAAATTAAATATTCACAGATTGATAAGGAAGCTTTAGCATTAGTGTTTGCAGTTAAATATTTTCACTAGTATGTATATGGGAAACAGTTTATTTTGAAAACGGACCATAAGCCGTTAGTTAGTATTTTTGGTGAAAAGAGAAGTATACCTACAATGACAGCACATAGACTCCAGAGGTATGCAGTTTTTTTATCAGGATATACATATAAGATTGATTTTATTAAAGGAATTAATAATAGCAATGCTGATGCTTTATCAAGGTTACCATTAAAGAGTATGGATACAATTAATGATGAAGTGTGTGATACTTTTATTTAAACTGGAATACAACTAATATAAAGTCAATTTGTCATATAGACATAAGTGAAGAGTTAAAGAAAGATAAGATTTTACGTGAAGTTTTTTTAAGAATCATTACTGGGAAATGGCCAGAAATATCAAAGGATGTAAAGGAAGAATTGAAACCATATTTTTATCGTAGAAATGAATTAACAATTGAACAAGGATTTATTTTATGGAGGCATCGATTAGTAATTTCTATTAAGTTTAGGTAAGAATTGTTGAATGAGTTACACGGTATACACATGGGTACAGTTAAAATGAAGTCTGTTAAAATGAGGCCAGGGATAGATGGTAAGATTGAAGTAATTTCTAAGAGTTGCAAGCAGTGTTTGGCTAATAGTGAAAATCCTCCAAAATCAATTTTACACAGTTGGCCTTGCTCAGCAGTGCCTGATAAAAGTGCTTTTAGATTTTTTAGGTCCAATTAATAATAAAATGTTTGTGATTATTATTGATACATTTTCTTAGTGGTTGTGAGTTAAACATATGTCTAATATAACGTCAAATTCCTAATTAAGTCTGGAGGAGATGTATTTTGGAAGAGACATATAAATCAAATTATAGATTTGACATATATATCCATATCACATATATGTGATATGGACAACAAAGAGCTTGAGTCACAAGTTCCTATAATAAAGAATAATACAGTAATTACTTTTGTTGATGGTAGCAGATTAAAAGAACCGGTTGTTAGTGAGGAAAATAAGAAGGAGAACATAGAGATGGAACCTGAGAGTATAGAAACACAAAAAGTTAATATTAGAAAGAGTAACAGAGAAATTAAACCACCAGTAAGTTTAAATTTATAATTTTTAAAATATTTTTATTGTTACTATCAAAATTCTGTTAAAGAATTAGTTTATAATTTTTTATATATTGTTATGGTTTATTATTAAAATTTTGTTATATTTTTTTTTTTATAAAAAAAAAAATATATTGTTAATGTTCATAAGTTACATGATGTTTTTACCATTTTGTTTTTACAAAATTAGTGTGAAGGATTGTAATGTATACCAATAATTTTAGTGTTATCATATTGTGTTTTAGTTTGTGTATCGATAATGTGAATAATACAGAATGTGATATATAATGGAATAAAATGTATTATTAAATGTCTCAAAGTGTTCTTTTTAGCATTTTAATTCTATTATATATTATATGAGTTGAATATATTACAATAAGTATCATTCAATATTTCCATAACAAGATTACAAATTATACAAGGCCGAAAATAATTACTATTTATGTTACCCCAAGTGTTATATATCTCTTAATTAGCATGAAGAACTTTAATTTACAATAAACTTGACATGATTAATAATTATAAAACATAATGTGTATTCAAAAATAGTTAGATTATACTACAACAACAAATATAGTGTTGACACATAATACAACATAACACTTCCTCTCTTAAAACAATATATAAAAAAATACTAATTAACACATAGACATATAAATTTTACTTTAAATTATATTATTATAAATTTATCTTTGTAATAGGTTTCTTTGGTCTACTTGAACATCTATGATTTTGTATAGTTTTTGTTGAATTGTTTTCTCTTATAGTGGTCTGCTTTTTTGTAGTTTCAACCGTTTCCTCTTTTGTTATTTTTTCTTCTTTTACTTCTTCTGCTTCTTCACCTTCAATCTCATATTTAATTTTCTGAATTTGGTTACCATGTCTCTTCCAAGTAACACCACTTGGTAGTTCCACAAGATACATGACATTTCCTAATATTTTTATAATTTTTCCTTTTGTCCATTTCTCTCCTGTAAATTTCCTTACTAGAACTTTTTCATTAATATCAAAATGTCTAACTGTTTTATTGGTTTTTTGTTTTTCTTGATTTTCCCATACTGTACTTCGAATATTAGGTTTAATTAAATCAAACCTGTTACGAAGGTTCCTTCCAAATAATAATGTAGCAGGACTTTCTTTTGTTGTAGTATCCATTGCAATTGCATAGTTAAATAAAAATTGATTTAATTGTAGATTAATATTTTTAAAAGATATTTTTTTAAAAAATGATTTAACAATTTTGACTCCGTTTTCTGCTTGGCCATTGCTTTGTGGATGGTTTGGTATGGCGATGATGTTCTTTGTTTAATTCCATTTTTAGCTTAATATTCTATTATGCCAAATCTAGAGAATAGCTCTATAAACTTGTTGATGGTATATTGAACTGATGTTGATGGTATTTCAAATATATCCATCCATTTTGAGTATGCATCTTCAATAAATAGAAATAAGCTGTCCTCAAATGGTTCTACGAAATCAGATGTAACCTCTGCCAAGGTCTTTCTGGCTATTCCCATGTATGTAGAGATGTTTTTTTAGGCATTGGTCTCACATTCAAGCATTTTTCACATTTTTCTGTTGTGCTCTCAATATCTTTATCAATGCCAGGTCACCATATGTGTATTCTTGAAATAGACTTCATTTTAACTATGCCTAAATGATTTTGATGGAGTTCTTTTAGCATTTTATCTCCGAATGTCTCTGGTATTACTACTTTGTGACCACATATAATGATTTTTTGTTCTAAGTTTAATAGTTCTTTTCTTAGTTTAAATGGTTCTAATTCTTTTTGCACTTGTTCAGGCCAACTATATAAGGTAAAATACTACATACAACCTTACTTAATATCGTGTCTTTATTTGTTTCTGTTTTTACTAAAGCAGCATCCATGATTCTCATTTCATCTATATAGTGTAAGTATGTTATTTTTGGTGTATTTGCTTTTTCAACTTTAAAGTGGCATTCTAGATAAGACATCAGCACTGTTGTTTGGAGATTTTGTAAACCGTATATCAAAATCATAGTTTGTTAAGAATACAGCGTACCTTTGTAGTCTCGATGCTGTCGTTGTTGAGATTCCTTTTTTAGATCCAAAAAGGCTGATTAGCGGTTTACAATCACATCTTATTGTGAATTTATTTCCATATTCAAAATTGTTAAATTTATGGATACCAAATATAATTGCTAACGCTTCTTTATCTATTTGGCTATAATTTTTCTTAGCACTATTAAGAGTTCTTGAAGCAATCGCTATAGGATGCTCTTGTTGTTTTACATTCACTTGTAGTAATATAGCGCCAAGTCCATAAATTGATGCGTCACACGTAGTGATGTGCCACAAGAAATATTCCCCAGGGAACGTTCCTGAGAATGAGGAATATTCCAGNCCACAAGAAATATTCCCCAGGGAACGTTCCTGGGAATGAGGAATATTCCGGAAATATTCTATTACCACTCGGGAATATTTCTTTAATAACAACTAATACATTTTATTTATTATAATTACTAAAGTATGGCAGTGCTAGTGAAAGAGACAACGTTATTGTATTTATATCTTGATTACACTGATATGTTTATCAACATATTATTGATAAGCAATATATTAGGGCTTAGATTAAAATTGATTATAGTAGTATCGTTTTTCACAGTTATTTTATTTGTTATTTTACTTTTCAAAATACTTTTAAAATGCCGGCAGGTAAAAATATTCGAATTGTTGGTCTTATTTTAACGAAAGACTAGTTAACTTCCATGAAAGAATGTAAATTATCATTACAAACATTAGCTGTTCATGTTGTTGGCTCTTCTATGATAGGAATAAACAGAAACAAATTAATTTTAGATGATGCTGTATTTTGGACTAAAATCGATAAACTTATTAATTTACTTAACCCTATTGTAAAATGGATTACAATTTTAGAAGGGGACAGCAATATAATTAATCATGTATTTGATGCTTTTTATGAAATTCAAAATACTTTTTGTAGTTATATCTCAGAATCACTGATTATTTCTACTAAAAAAGTGCAAATAATACTGAATAAGTTTAAAGAAAGACATTTAAATACTATTAAACCTCTACACTTAGCTGCATCTTTGTTGGATCCCAAAACTCAAGGGTGTAATTTATCAAATTCAGAAGTATTAAAAGCTATTGAGTTTATTGATCAAATGATATCTATACAAAATAATATGACTGATTCTCTTAAAATGGATGGTGCTCAAATAATAGCTGATATAGCAAATTACAGATCTCGACAAGATATATGGAGCAATAATTTTATTTGGAAATGTGTGGAGAAAATAAGTCCTTTAACATGGTGGAATAGTTTTTGTTCAAGTACTCATTTATGTATTATTGCAAAAAAAATATTAATTGTTCCTGCTACATTAGCAGCCACTGAACGTTCATTTAGCACATTCTTAAATATTCACACAAAAAAAGGAACTGTTTAACAACATCAAATGCTTCAAAAATAACTTTTGTTGCCCATTATTGGAGACAAAATATAGAAAAGAATAAAAAAGTTACTTATGTTAATTATGAAGGCGAACCCCGTGAACCTAATGAAATGGATAAAAATACACTTAATATATCAATTGTGTCAGATGAAAATTCAATGTCAATTGATGGTTTAATTTCGTCCGACGATGAAGAGTGGTGTCCTAGTGACAGTGACAATGATTTCTTTAATGAGTATTTAAAACAAAAAGAAATAAGTTATCTTGTTGTTATTTACATTTATAAGTAAACATTTATGTTAATAAAGTTATCCTTTGCTTTTATTACTTTTGAAAAACCTGGAAAATGTGATGAACAAAAAATAACGTATTGAATTTGGTAACTTGTTTAAGCATTTTATAGGCATCATAGACTATGATGCCTATAAAATGATTCATAGCATACAGTTAATTTGAAATATAAACAGTGAAAAGTATAACAGAATCAAAAATTATAATTAGTTATAAAATATTTAAAATTCCTAATGTTTCAACATAAAATTTCATATTTAGTTTAATGTAAATATATACAAGCAGTTTAAATAATTACTTATAGTCAATTCTTTGCATCAACAACTGAACCTTTAGTACATAATTTCATTATATTGATAAATTTATATGTACCTAAATCCTAATCAAATCAAATATTTTTAGAATAATTCTACTAATTATTACACAAATGTCTTACTTTTCTCCAATAATATTTTTGTGTATAAAATATAGGCCATTGACCATTTACAGCTATAAATTTAGTTAAATATTGAAACAAAATTAATAAATATGAACAAAATTTAATAAAATTATAATATTCCCGATAAATTCCCGGTATAAGGAATGTTCCAGAAATTTTCCCAGGGGATTTTCCCATCATAAAATTCCTGGAAATTTGCACATCACTAGTCACACGTTAATATAATTGGTAGTTTTGGATCAAAATGCTTTAGGACCCTGTCTGATGTTATTTCTTCTTTGATTTCATTGAAAGCATTCACACAATTATTATTAAAATTAAATTTGGTATTTTTTCTCAATAAATTGGTTAGTGGTGCTTGAATGGTTGCCAAGGTTAGGTATAAATATTCTATAATAGTTAATCAATCCAAAAAAAACCTTGCAAATGTTTTTTGTTTTTTGGATTTGGAATTTGAGTAATAGCTTTGATCTTAGCTGGGTCTTGTTTGCATCCATCTTTGTTGATGATATAGCCTAGAAATTTAATTTGTTCTTTGAATAAGATACATTTTTCCTTCTGTACTGTCAAATTCATCTTTAATACAGTTAGTACTTCCTCTAGGGCTTTCAAATGTTCTTGCTCAATTGTCTTCTTCCTCACTTTAATCCCAACTACTTGGGGTCAGCCACTCTTATCCTAAACTTCCACTTGGCAAAATCTCCCACATCATTTACGCTCACAACAGCTGTCCTCAAATCGCATTCAATAGCATCCATCCATCTCTTTCTTGGTCTTCCTCTACCTCTTCTTCCTTCAACATTCATTTCTATAACTGTTCTTACAGCTTCTGATTGTTCTCTCCTCATAACATGACCAAACCATCTAAGTCTATTTTCTCTCATCTTATCCACGATTGACGCTACACCTATACTCCCTCTTATATGCTCGTTCCTTATTCTATCTTTTTAAGTCATTCTACTCGTCCATCTAAGCATTCTCATCTCTGCTACACTCATTCTACTTTCTTATCAACCGCCCAATACTTTGAACCATACATCATAGCTGGCCTTATTTCAGTCTTGTAGAATTTACCTTTCAGCTTCATTGGAATTCTTTTATCGCATAAGACACCAGACACTTCTCTCTATTTCAACCACCCGCAATTAATTCTGTGTCTTACATTCACGTCAATACCACCGCTCATTTGCACAACTGACCCTAAATATTTAAAACTCTTCACCTCTTCAATAATGTCCTCGCCTATTGTCACTGACCTCCTCATTTCACCTACCTCGTGTTCTCCTTTGTCACACTCGTACTCTATATACTCCTACTTATTCTTAAACCCTTTTCTTCAAGAGCTGATTTCCACACTTCTAGGATTTGATTGATTTCCTCCCTATTTTCTCCTATTAACACTATATCGTCAGCAAACAACATGCACCTCGGCACTTGTCCTTGTATTTCTCTAGTAATTTCATCCATCACTATAGAGAATAAGTAAGGGCTTAAAGCAGAACCTTGATGCACTCCTACTCTTACCCGAAAACCGTCTGTTACTCTTCCTATACTTTTTACTCTAGTACACGTGCCATCATACATATCCTCTATTATATTATTATACCTTTTCAGGACTCCTTTTCTTAATGCACACTTAAAAACCTCTCTCGGTACTTTGTCATACGCTTTCTCCAAATCTATAAATACCATACACAGCTTTTTCTTTTTTTCCCTAAACTTTTCTATTAATACCAAGCTTGTAGGTAAAATTTAAATATTTTATAGATAATATTGAATTATTGTTTAAAAGTATGTATTTTTAAATTAATTTGTATATAAAGGTGTGGTTTGATGTACCTTCAGCTAATAAAGCACCTATTCTAAACTTTAATTTCATTAAAAGCTTTTTAAATTATAGCAAAATAGATTAAATCATACCTTAAGTCTCAGTAAAAAAAAAATTATGGTTATTTATGGTATTGGTCACTAGAAGTTTTATTTATGTTCTTTATTTGCTGAAAGTATCATTTGAAACCAAAATAAAAAATGTAAAAGCTTTAAAAAATATATAATCATTATCAATTGTTGTTTCAAACTAACTTGTATATGAAACAAGCATAGTTTATAAAATAATTTATGAAAATAAAAAAAATCACCCTTACTGTCAAATTTTCAGCACTCATGTTGCTGCATGTGTTATTGTAACCCCATTTTAACCAATTTTTATACAAATTATTGTTTATTATTAAAACAATTCTAGAGTGTGTTTATTGAATGAATTTCAAAAATTCATATTTTAGTTCTGCATTAATAGACTAAGTAGTAAAAACATTTAAAAATACCAAAAAAAGCTACATATCTTTAGACACCTCTAATATGTCTGCTGAACATTCTTTTTTTTTACATTACAAACCTTATTGATGAAAATATGTACTGGTTTTCAGAATTCAGCAGGAAAAGAAAAAGTAATAAATGAATTCCAAACGCAAGTTAAAAAATTATTGAGTGAATCTACATCGCCAATTAAAACAGATGGCGTTCAAGAAAAAATTATATCAAGTGATACGGAGGAACCTTTAGCTGCTATTGAAAGTCAAAATACAGAATTGGGAAAAATTGAAAAAACATTAAATATAAATTTAAATTCTAAAGATGATACTGTTAAAATTGTTGATAAAGAAAATTCTAATTCTTCTTTACCAAATCAAACATTTGAAAACAGTATTTCTACAGAATTAGAATTACCATCCCAAAGTTCTGATGTTACTAGTATTTCAGAAGATTCTAATAGTACAAAAAAATTATCAGCAGTTGATGAAGAATCTTTAAAACCAGGTTAGTTTAAAGCTAATTAACATTTAGATAATTCTAGAATTTTGGTTTTTGAATAAATTGTCAAATTAAGCAATTAATCTACTTATATAAAGGATTATATGTTTAATTAGTTCTTATATTTTTAAATTCTGTTTGTATATTTCAAAGATACATATATTCAAGCAAATACATTTTTTATTTAAACATAAAATTGCATTTTACTAGTAATATATTAGTATATGAGAGCTTAGGGAGGAGTTTAAACCCTAAACAATATTTTGAAAGGTTACATTATTCAGATATTTTCGTTTGTACTTAGACGTTTTTAAGAAGGCTACAATAAAAACTATTGATATGTGTACTCATGAATACTAGTAATAATTAAATATTTATTAAATGACCATCTTTAATTAACAACTCTTACTCTTGCTAAATATACACCCAAATATCTCCGTTTTCTTCTCCCTTGCTTTTATCCCAACTATATGTGGTAGGCCACTTATCCTAAACCTTCATTGATACAATTTCCCACATCAATATATACAACAGTAGTCAATCCTCATGTCACCCATTATGTGTAACCACCTTCTTCCTTCAACGTTTATTTCCATAATCATTCACACTGCTACCAATTTTTAAACAACAATACTTAAATTTTCTAAAATAAAGTGCTGCATATTTTTGTATCATAATGTAGTCAGATCTATTTTTATTATGTTAATTAAAATAAATAAGTATACATAATTAATATTAATAAAAAATATAATTGAATGATAATAAATAAATAAGAAAGTATATATAGGTGTTGTTCAGTAAGTAAAGAAATGGGTTTCTATTGTTCTCATTGTAACTGACCTGTAACCTTACTTTCTGAATATTCTATATGTTTTTATTTATTCATTATTATTTTTGTAAGTAAATAAAAGTACTAAATATTTTATATTATATTTTAACACTGTATTTTCGGAAATTAAAGTAATGTTATTTAAAAAAAACTAAATAATTTAATTTTAAATACCTTTGATTGTGTTTAAAATTAAAAAAAAAACCACAATAGATGCAATTTTTACATAATATTTTCTTAACTTTCAATCAAAAACTTAAAATAGTTATTTCAGTTATCATAAGCACATTATATCTTTAATGACAATAGAATAATAAAATTAATAATATAAAACTGAATTAATTTCAATTGGAAATAAATATTTTTCATTTTATTACAATACTAACCTAATATTCTATCAGTTGAATAACAAAAAAATTTCACTTTATCCACACATACTTGTAACACAATCTAATACTTTATAATTTATTTTTAATAAAAATTTTTTTTTAATTTTCAATGTTTTAAACTTCCAAAATGACGTTTTTTTGAGCTGATCAAAAAAAATTAAATAAGACAATACAATTTTAGGGCGAGTACTTAATGATTTTCAAGCATTTTAATACAAAGAGTAATTATGTATCGCAGGTAGATACTAGTGTATATTTGCAATGCTTATTCCACCCATGCTTCATACACATTTAATGTATTAAATTGCAAGTAACACAATTAGCAATTATTTTAAATTAAATAAAAAATAAATATTATTAAAAACAAATTATAAATAAAGGATTTCAATCACTATAGTCAAAGAATTAATAAATATAAAACTAAATATTAATTGTATCGGTGGGGTTATAAGAGTTTTCAGTTTTGTTTTTTATATATTTAAATCAATTCTAATTCATTTTTAAACTTAACTAGAAAAAACTTGTAGAATTTAATAAATTAAAAATATTTCATTCTATTAAACTTGACTTATTGATCATTTTGGTAGCACTGTTATAAAAATATAAAATATATATTGGTAACACCGGCCGGTATCAACTGTTAACGACACAGAGGTCGTTTGTTGCCTTTCGAATAGTAATATTATTTTCCATCGCTTAATACGCACGTGTTTTTTTTTTTTTTTATTAGATTCTTCTTTTTAACTTTTTTCAATAAAATTTGTTACGAATTCTTGAGTATTTATAATTTTCAAAACATCAATTTAAATAATGTTATTCTAAGCTTTTAAGTATATTATGAAGGGACCAACTAGTGATAGTAAGTACTACTGATTACCTATGCATTAGTTTCCTGTTAATGGTGCCTAATTATTAAGATTTGCTCGAATAACTTCTTTCAGATAGCATTAAAAAATATTAATTTAAAACGAAAGTATAATTTCCATTATGATTTTAACAAAATTAAAATTTATAATCATTTAAAATTAAAAAAAATTTTCTGTTGAATGCTTAGCAATTAATAAACACTAAGATTATATACGTTTTCTTTTTTACGTTTACCGTTTTTTAATTTTTTTTTAAATTTCGAACTTATCGAATTGCTACGGTTGTGATATTTTCTACAATGCCTTCCAACTTCTCATGTAAAGTTAAAAATATATTGTTATTTCTATTATAATAATTAGTGTTACTAAGTTGAAATTAAAATTCAACTTTGGAATAGGTTAAAATAGACACAATATAAAATAGGTGTTTGTCTGATATAAATGATTAATAATCATTTTTTAGTACTTTTTACTTATGAGTTAAAACTTAATATGTATAAATATCTTAATATACATTTTATGAAATAGTATTGTAATCAACTTTTTCTCCATATTATTTTTGATCTTAATTTTTTTTATTCATTTATAATAAAATAATTAAATTTTTGACACTTATAATTAATTCATTCTTTTGTATTTGGATTTTTAAGAAAATGTTCATTTTTAAACATTTAGATTGTTTTATAACCTTAGGTATTATAGTTAATGAATTTTATAGATATGTAAATTTTATTCTATGCTCATACATACATAATCAAACTCAAAATAATAAACTATAATTAATGAAATAAATTTGACATTAGCTTGTTAATGACAATAGTTACTGTTTTTAAATGAGATTCATGTTTATATTTATATTTAATTTTATTGAAAGTAGATGACTATGCTTTACAAATACATCAATATTTTATAATAATGCATCACAGTAAAACTGCATTACTTCAAATATTTTGCAGCTTTCTAGCTGCATTATGTCATCCGATCTACAGGCATAATTGTATATGTGTATGTATTGTCATCTATTTTTAGTTCTTGCATCATAGAGCTATTTCTGGGAATTCTGGCAGCCCATGTAGCTTTAATAATTTCATATACTATGTATCACTAAACAATATTATACCTTCATTAAATTTAAATTGATTTATTTTTTATTTTCTTTAACATAATGAGATTACAGTTATAATGGAAATATTTGTCTATAAATGTTATATTTTATTTAGTAAAATCGAAAAAAAATAAAAACAAAAAGAAGAAAGGAGTAGAACCACAAAAAAATGTGACTAAAGATTCAACTGGTAATGTGGTGGTGTCATCTTCCATTAAAACTGTAGAAAATTTAATTGAAAAACCCATTGAAAATGATTCTAATCTAAATGATAGTAATACGGTATGTATAATGCATGAAAGTTATTTTTATTAAGATTAAGAATATTACCACATATTATCCACAATCTATACTAATTTACTTAAAATCATTTTGATATTATATTTTTTAACATAGCCAATATTTATCTTTTGTACATATAGTTGATGAAACAAATATTAAACATGTTTAAAAATTAATGAGAACATATCACTATATATATTGTTTTTAGAATATTGTATTAAAAGATAAATATGTTTTGTAAGGCTATTTAATATTTTGCTTTAAAGTAAAAATCTTAAAATAATTTTTTAAACAATGTGAGGTGCAGAAATTAATAGTCCATGAACTTCAAACATTTTTTATTAAGTTTTTTAAATTTTGGATATATAAGGAATTGCTTGTGCCATAGCTCAGCACAACAGAATCAAACTTCGGTACCTATTTACTGAGGTACAGCGCATTACTGAATGAGTTAGTTAGGCCATCTGATTTTAATATATTACATTGAAGTTTCAAATTTTATATACAGATTCAGAATAAAGAAAATGAAAATGAGAATTGCTTATCAAAAGTGGAAGAAGAAAAAACTGTCAAAAAAAATGAAGAAATATTACCAACGCAAGAAAGAAAAAATAATGGTGTTAAAAATGAGGTAGCTGAAATTGTAACCCCAAAACTTCCCAGTTACATAGAAAAATTACCATATACTGAAGGTATTTAAAATGTATTTGATTAACTAACCCACAGAATTTTTATTGGTATAAATAAAATAATGTTTAGATCAATGGAGTTTGACCAATAAATCTGGAAAAAGAGTTTACACAAGAGCTTTCTTAATGCAATTATGTAATGAAACAGTTTGTCAAAAGAAACCAGATGTTTTAAGAAATTGGGGAAACATAACAAGATCTGCAAATGCACCACAATATAATGTTTTAGGAGGTGGTAGTAGTACAGGTGTAAGTGTTGTCAAATAAAATTTAAATAAATTATAATTTTACATCGTTTTGATGTGATAAATAGTATTATTCAATTTAATTTATTAGTTAAATAAATATTGTATTTCAGGGAACACCTATTTCTAGATCACAAAGCGCAAGTGCAACAGGCTTTATGCCTGCATATTTCAAACCTGGTGGTAGTAGTCAACGAGGAGGCATGCCTATGATGGTAAGAGAAACTATATAAAAAAAAAATAAAAATTACATTCTATACTAATTTTTATTAAACATAATCTTTTTAAAATTGGATAAATTGTTATTAAGTTAAGTTTATCCACAAATCTGAAACACTAAAAAAAGTTTGAGGATTTTAAAATAGTCAGAGAAATTAAACAATTTTCTGGAAATTAGATAATTTTGTCTGTAATTAAAAAAAATTGACAAAACCTGTCATTTATTATTTAGACTGTTATCTGAGTTTATTCTTAATATTTTGGAGATTATACCTTCTCTAGCTAACTCACTAACTACCCCTATGCAAATAATAATAAGTAATAGAAGTTGTTTAAATTACTCTTGCATAAATAATTAATGCTTATACCTCTTGACAGAGGTACAGTTTTTTTTTTAAACTGATGAGAAAATCTTAGAAAAATTGAGGAATTTGACAATTTTATATTTATAATAAAGATAATTGTATATCATACTTTTCAATAACAATGCTTGTTTTACTTGATTAGTGTGTTAAGCTTAGGTTTCATAATAAATTCAAGTTTTATAGTTGTAGTATTCTATAATACTTTATATATAATCCCAGTAAGTTTTGATGCATTTATTATGATTTAATCATTAAAAATTTTAGTCTGGTGCCAAGAGAAATAGTAGTCAAGGTAAAACGGCTAGTAAATCTTCAAAACCGAACACAATTCATATGTCTCTATCGTTGAGAGAAGAAGTTAAATTGAATCAGACTGAAAATGCATGGGTTCCAACTGCTGTTAAAAAGGCAACCAAAAATGATTCATCTAAAAACAAAAATGAAGATGAATTAAAAACAGAAGTAAACAAACATATTCATCTAATATAAAATTCAATTTTTAATTTTTAATACTTTGAAAATATCTATATTTAAGTATTGATTTTTATAATTACCTTTAAAAGTGTATTACATAGACGTACAGTTAATGATGTTAAATTTTTTAGGATGTTCATAAAAATGTTAGATCAATATTAAACAAAATTACACCTGATAACAAAGATGCTTTGACTGAATCTTTTAAAAGTTTATCTATTGATACACATGATAGATTAGAAAAAACAATAGATTTAGTTTTTGAAAAAGTAAATAAAACCACATATATCATTTTTTATTTTTTTTATCTGAACTTTAATATAATTTTATTTTAGGCAATAGAAGAACAAAGTTTTGCTCCTTTGTATGCTTCACTGTGTTATGCTATGCAAGGCTTACAGGTGATTTATGAAAATGGCACTAAATCCACTTCTTTCAAAAAACTTATTATAAGTAAGTGTCAGAGTTTATTCGAATTAGATAAAGCTCAAGAAATGGATTCAGCTAAAAGACTTTCAGAAATAAACTCTTGTAAAGACTCTGTAAGAATTTTTTGGAATGTTATTGTATATGACTATTATATTACATTATTAGTATTTTAATTTATATAGGAGAAAAAAAAAGAACTGCAAATGGAATTTGAAGATAATGAGAGGAGATTAAGGAAACGCTCTGTAGGGAATTGCAGGTATATTTATATTGTTTTATTTTTTAAATATTTAGATGATTAAACTAAAATATTCTCAAACTATGAACTCAAAAGCATTTTTCTCTTGACTCTTATAAATATTTATTAAATTTACTTTTAATTTGTGTGTTAACATTCAATAGTAATAATGTGTATTCCATGGGTAATTAATAATGGAATTTTAAATAATTCTTAATTATTAATGAATGATATTTTACTAACAATAGTAATAATATTAATTCTAAGATGTTCATAATTTATTTCATAATAAATAATTATTTTATACTTAAAAATCTATAAGTTTGTTGCTAGTTTAAGATGAGATTTACTTGTCCCCTAAATATTATTTCATAAATTTTCTAGTTTCAAAGTAACTGTTTAAATATTATTTTCGATTAAGTGTTTTCCATCTTTTCATTATCTTTAATTGTAATATTATTTTAGATTTATTGGGGAGTTGTTTAAACAAAAAATTCTCACTCCAAATATCATGTTATATTGTATAGTCAATTTAGTCACTAAACATGATGAAGAACCTTTAGAATGTTTATGTAATTTATTAAAGACTGTTGGAAAAGAATTAGAACAAGTGAGACTAATTGAAATACATTTTTTTACTTTATTGCTTTAATAATGGATAATTATTTTTAACATTTTTCTCTTTAGACCTACAGTTTAAATGAAACATTTGATAAACTGAGAGCTTTAACATCAAAAGAAATGAAATCCAAAATACCATCAAGAATTCGTTTTATGATTCAAGATGTAATAGATTTAAGAAAAGACAAATGGGTACCTAGACGATTAGATAATAAACCTAAATTAATTAATGAAATAGAAAATGATGCTAAAAATGAAGCCATAGAACAATCAATTGCATTATCTTCTTATAATAGTAGACCTGAAAAATCACAACGTGATAGTCACCGTGATGATAAATATAGGGGTGGAGAAAGTAAAAACCGACGTAAGTACTTATATTAATTTTAAATACAAATCTATTGTTTGTGTTAAACATAAAATTAAGTTTTATTATAACTTTTTTTATTTATTACTTAAATTATTATAATTTTATTTTTTTGTGCTTTAATAAATTTCCAAATTAAAAAATAAACAGTGTTTAAAAGAGAATTAGATGAATTTTACCGTCCTTTTTAAGAATTATTGGTTTTAGACAAATAATTTTAAGCAAGATCATTGCAGTGTTCTGCGTATGTCAATTGAAAAATTATAAATTCTTCTAATTATGACCAGCGTAAACAATTCAATGTCTTTATAATAGTATAGTACATATTAAAATATTATCCTTCTTAGAATTATGTGATTTTTGCCATAAGTGAGCAGGCCCGTGTTTTCAATTAAAAGCACATATAGTTGATAAACTAAATTTTCTAACTTGTAAATTAACATTTTGTTTGTTCTATTCTCTCTTAATGACTAAAGATTTTTAATATTTGATATTTTATTTAATTGATTAAAAAAATTAGGTATAAATTTGTATTTTAGAACTAGTTTAACGCAAGTCTCATTTAGTAAATTTTTAGGAAAGTCTTATAACTCAAATAAAATATGGAAGGGGTTATAACAAAATTTTGTTGATATAGACAAAATAATATGTGATTTCATATTCAAAAATATAACCTTAAAATCATAATTTATTGACATACGTTAAGTACTCAGATAAAGAAATAAGTGGGTAACCAGTTATTTAATAATCCTTCAACAAATTATATTTTTTTAAATCGTTCATATATATAGGAATGACCTATTCTTAATACATGACTTTCTGATGTACAAATTTCATGACATCACATATCTGATAATTTATCATGAAAATAATGATCATATTTACAACTATAAATATCATATGTTTACTTAAAATCCAAAAAAAAAACAATATTGAAAATATTTTTTGTGTTTTAAATGATTATTTTTGTCTAATCTTCTCTCTGTAAAAATTTCTAGTATTGATGATTTATATATATATATGATAAAAACACAAAAACCTAGTTTTTTTTTACCTAATTTTAAATTTTATGACTTCGTTTATTTGATAATGTCTTCATGACTTAAATATTTAATCATTATGATACACATCAAGTGATAACATACCCAAAAGAATTCGGCTTTTATTCTTTGAATGAAATAGTACATTAATGTATTTATTTATTATTTAACTTTTAGGTAATGAAACTGAATGGAATATTGTACAAAATACCAAATATAAACAACAGAATTATACAATTGATCAATCTAAACTACAAGGCTTGCAAGGTCTTAAGGTAAATAAGTTTTGGGTGTTTTTTTTATTTGAGTTTCAATTATGTTAAATAGCTTTAATTAGGTATTTAAATTATTAAAACAAATAATTCCAAGTCAATTTATCACCAATTCATTAATGATAATTTAACATAGAATTTTGTATTAACTCGTATATACCATAATATTGTTAAGGACTGTGCCCTATTTTTTCTTAAGCTAATTTTAAATTTTAGCCTGATAATATTTTAATATATAAATTATGAAATATATTTTAAGAGATAATAGTTAATATTTTGTTATAAGTCAGTCAAAACTCTGTTTAAATTAATACATATTATCCAATAAATGCAACCTTTTAGTTAATTTTTTCTTACAGGAGTCTTCATCGGTTTCGTTAGGGCCCTCTTCAAAATGGTCTTTTTCATCTAATTCTACTGGAGGAAAAAATAGTAGTTTTACTAGTAACAATATGTATGCTCCTCTAAATGATGATAAAAAATCGTCAAATTCTCAACTGATGTAAGTATAATTAAAAAAAACTAGTGATATTGAAAAAATAATAACTTTTTTTAGGTCTAACAAAAACACGCCTCGCAAACCAATGATTTCTGAAACAGAAGAAAGACAAAGAATGATGTCTGGTAAGATTTAAATAATTACAAACATAATATTTGCTAGAAATCAAGTAGCGTAATATTTTTGAGTTAAATATTATAATTTTTTAAAATATGCAGGTTAATTGATTTATTATTGACTACTAGATATCATCTTATTAATAATAATGATTTTAATCATATAACAAAAAAATGATCCAGATAAGAAAATGACACCAATAAATACTTCTAAAACAGTAGTTTAGGAATTATGAATATTTTTATACTTTGATGGAATAATAAGAGTGGTAGACAAACTTGTTTAGTTGGATCATTTTCTATTATATAAACTAGTTGATATGTATGTAACCATTTAAAAAATAAAATTTATGTAGGAAAAAGGATAGTTCTAATAAATATTTGACCACTTATAAGATAAATAATATTAAACAAAATAAAAAAAAAAATTCGTAATCATTATTTTAGTATAAATTTAATGGTCAATGATAAATAAATCACTCTGTATGATGTATAAAATATTATAATATAGGTGTTGCTAGTATGATGCCTCAATTTGCTCAACCTTCTACAACATTAAATACATCTTTAACTACTTCACAAACTTCAAAAGAAGCAGAAGAGTCATCGTCTTCTAATGAAGAACTAGATCCTGAAATAATAGATAAAATTAACATGCAATGCAAAAACATTATCCAAGAATATGAACAAGTGCATAATATAGATGTAAGTGTATCATTATTTTTTACATAAATATTGTATTTAACACTGTTAAATAAAAAAACACATCATAGTTAAATTAACATCGAAGCTAAAATTGAAAGCTAAAAAAAAATCTTTGTTATATATTTTAATTAGTATAAAACTTATTTTATTTTTATAAATTGTAATATTCTTATAATTTTTAGGATATTATATATTCATTAAAAGATGATGAAAAGTCAGCCATCCGCACTAGACATGAAGAATTTGTGAAGTATGTATCTTTGATGACTTTTGAATTTAGTTCGAAATTCCAAACAGAAGCTGGCAAAATGTTTGCTGAATTGTTAACCAAAAATGTTCTATCTATGACGGCTATTACTCGCGGGTATGTTACAAAAAAATCAATCCCCAATATACTCTTAATAATAAAAAAATTAATTTCAATAGAATTGATGCTGTTCTTAAAGATTGGAATGATTATTTAATGGATTATCCTCAATTCTTTTCTTATATTGCTGCCATTATTGGTAAGTGTGATGTCTTTAGTTAATGTATCTCAACTTGCTTGATAAAATTTTTATATGGCTAAAAAACTTAAATTATGTTATTTTGCAGCTCCATTATTAATTTCAAAGACTGCTTCTTTTAACTTTATTAATCTAAAAGATGCTTGCAAATCAATTTGTCCTAATGATTCTTGCAAGTTTTTTATTGAGGTACTCCAAAAAATTTTAGGCTCAAAAGAAACCCAAGATATTAAAGAAGTATTAATTTTTTATATTTTATAAATAAAATCATTTGCTTTATTGTTTATTTTCTTACTTTTTTAGCAAGGTGGAATATTATGGATATATAACAAATGGAGAAAATCAGAACAAATATCACTTGATGTTTTTGTTCCTAACAATAAATTGAATGAAAATTTTAGAAATGATGTATGTGTAGTGATTTGATATTCATTGACCAAATTGTTCTAAATTTTAGTATCTTTTTTTAGAGAATTGGTGTTTTCTTGTTATCCATAGCCATGTATGATAAAATGAAGTTCACTGATAGTAAACTATTATATGATATAATGCATAGTTGGATAAGTGTAAGTTAAAATATATATTCTAATATTACTTCTTATTTAGATTACTCATTTAAAAATGTAGACATTTGTTTAAAAAAAATTTGTAATTTTTTGGTTTTACAAATTGTTTTAATACATTACTACATTTTAAATATTACATGATATCAAATATTTTACCCTATTTTTTAGAAATGATAGTATTTATTTGAAATAATAATTCCCCATTAGGCAATCAAATTAAGATTTAAAAAGCTCACAATGTCATAATAATATTTTTAAAAGTATTGAATTCATGTAATGCAGTTGTTAAAACTTGGTTATATAAGTGTTATATTTTATACATTTAATCAAATAATATAATATAATTAAATTATTTTTTTTTACAGAATAACTTCAAGTCAGAAATTATTGACTGTCCACAATTTGTTCGGTCATTAACTATAGCTAACGTAATTGCCTGCTTAGGTAAGTTGCATACAACTTTAAATTAAATAAATATGTTCCTTCATTAAACACAGTTAATTTACTGTTTAATTAATCTATGATAAATATACTTGCCCCTATATAAAATAATTAGTTAATATTAAGTCTGTTTTATTAAAAGGGCCACCAAATCATTCTTTTGATGAGTTCTTTGATCATGTATATATTAAATTACTTACTTGTTACATTCGATCAAAACCTTTACCAGTAGCAGAAATTCAAGCACGGGAAGTTCAATGTTTATACGGAATTCAAATAATGTCTGCTGCGCTTGAGTACCCTGCAGGTATAATATTTCCGCTTTTTTTATTTTATATTATAAGTCGACATGTTAAATATTGAATAACTATTATTTCAGGAATGGTACTAAAATTGTTTCACAAACTTTATCAAGACAGTGTCATTAGTAAGGAATCATTTGACTTATGGAAAAATGATGATGTATTCAAACCTGGTTTTGATGAAGACCTCGAGACTAAAACTATGGCAGTCGTAGTATTGAATTCATTTTTCATTTCTCTTGCAGTAAATGATTCTGATGAAGAAGAAACAATTGATCCATAATGTAACGTTGTTATTCTGTAATAAAATTATCAGTCGACTTCTGAAATTCTTATTTTTTTAATTTTATTGTAGATACCATGTTTAATATATTATATAAATTAGATTAAAATTATATATATATAATGAGCCATTTTCATTTATGCCCTTTAGAATTCAATTATTTTAAAACTGCAAATATTTGTATACAGCGTTCTTATTAAGGGTCTTATTTTATTTTTATATTTTGTATATTTCTGATTTTACTTTGTAGTTTATACTGAAGCTAGTCTCCTATTTATGTGAAAAATGACCTTTATTGTTAAAGCATGTTTGTTTTGACAATGGGAAGATGACAAATTAATTTTGTTAGTTAAAAATTATATGAATCATATAATTGATAATTGTGGTACCTACATTTTGTTTATTAGAAATGTTTTGTGGATTAATGGAGACTATGCTACTTTTTTCAAAATAAAATATGTTAAGTATTTCAATATCGAAATTGTAACATAGTTTATGAAACAACTGCAAAATTCGAATTTACAATATAATTGTTATAAAAGTAATTAATTAAAGAAAATAACTATATTTTTCTATATACGTTGATACCATTGTCGGACTATTGTGTACAGTTATATAAATTAATGTGTAAAGTTGCGGTTAATGTTATTTCTTATTATATATTAAAAATAAATAAAAATTGTAAAAAGTGTTTTTAAATTCTATTACTCTCACTATTATTACATCACCCACATTATTTTTATTGTTACCAAATATTTATTTCAAATTAGTATTGTAACCTTGATGTTGTTTAATATTGCAAATAATATAAGCATTCAAATAAAAGTTTTATAATTGAGATTACAGTCCCACGTATTATACGGCTTGGACAGGAGACCTAAAAAAAATTGCAAATTCATTTTACTATATTTTTATTTTGTTAAACCATAAACATTTAATTTTTTTGTAAAACTTTTCATATTAAAATGCCTGAATAAATATCCCTCGATAAATGATATATTTTTTGAAAAAACATTTCAATTATTTACATGTTTAATAGATACGTAAAAATGATTCTCAAAAATTTGCCATTGTAAGGATCTAGATAAATTTATTATAATTTAATATTATATATATAACAATATATTATATAATATGAGTGGTGTTTTTAATATGAAACAAAAAATTCTTTAGATTACCAAAAATCATATACCACGGTAAATAAAAATATTATGATCAATAATATTAAAGATTTTAAAGTAACAAAAAAATACCTAGTAATTTATTGTGTTATTGCGCCATTATGATAAATATAATAATGAAAAAAGTTTATGAACACCTTAATATTTAAGTGTTGTATAAATTAAAATTACATCACTGAATGTATGGTGTTATAATGTTGTGAATTTAAAATATAAGTTCTATGTTTATTACATTAATATTTTTCCAGTGAAAACTAAGAATCAACATTTCTATAGATATTCTTAAATTTTTATATTGTGCACAGGTTCATTTAAAATTAATTTTAGGATAAGAAACCAAATTTCTTTGAAAAAAAAAAATTGTATTTTCAAATAGGCGAATAGTCATGTTATAAGGAGAGAGGATTCAGAAGTTGTAAGAGCAGTTATTAAAATGAATGTTNAAAATTGTATTTTCAAATAGGCGAATAGTCATGTTATAAGGAGAGAGGATTCAGAAGTTGTAAGAGCAGTTATTAAAATGAATTATGAATTAAAAGGAAAAAGAGGTAGAGGAAGACCAAAAAAGAGATGGAGAAATATAATTGAATGTGATTTAGGATGGCTGGTGTAATGATGACGTGGAAGATCGTGTTAAGTGGAAGTTAAGGATAAGGGTGGCCGACCCCAAGTAGTTGAGATTAAGGCGAGAAAAATGAAGAAGAAATAGGTGTTTAGTTGGATTGGAAGTAGGAAACTAATCTTCTAGCTCCCTTATTTAATTCTTATTGCAAGATATATGAAGTCTCAACAAGCCAATCTCCTAGAATATAAAAAAAGTTAAGAATCCTCCTCTTTGGAATAAGTAATAATTCTCTACACAAAATAAAATACAATTAATTTTATATTAATTATTTCTTGATATCAGTAATCTTTTATTGTTTAGTTAAACTTATTTGGTTGGCTGCCTTCTATTCATTTCTGTTAATAGTGTAAATTAACTTTTATTTTTTCTGTGTCTGTTCTTTCCCAGGATGCTGTATTGTACCCTCTTCTTTTTCTTTATGTATTATATCTGCTCCGTTTTTACTCCTTTATTCTAAACTTTTAATCTTTGCTGATGACATGATATTATTTATGCAAGTAAAAAGAATCACTGATTGTCATTTACTCTAACCTTACTTATTCATTGTGGTGATTCTCTTAACCTTTTCATTAACGTTCTTAAATGCTCATCTATATCATTAATTTGTTTCCGCTCTCCTATTTCCTAAACATGTCATATTAATAATATTCTTTATAAAAAGTCTAATGAGACAGTTCGTGATTTACATTTCATCCTTTCTAAATATCTCTCTTGTGGCTCATATCCATTATCAATGTTGCAAAGCACTAACACTTCTTGGGTTCATAAACGGCACTTATCAACATTTTTATTAAATATAATATCTCTAAATACCCTTTACTCCTCCCTTGTACGTCTTAACCTTGAACATGAAAGCGTTCTTTAGGATCTATTGACTGCTGTCTCTAATTCCACGATTGAGCATATCCAAAGAAAATTTCTACGTCTATGATCTTATAGATTTAATATTCTATGTCCCCCTCATGATTATGTTCCTGTCTTTTTGGTACTGGTATCTCTACTCTAGCTGATTGTAAACACACTATTACTCTTAGTAAGCTTAGTTTCCATCATGGAAATGTAGATTCCCTGAATTATTATTCCTTATTAATTTTAAAATATCACTAATAAACACTCATTTCTCTTTTCATTTCATTATTTCTCACTGCACAACATCGAAATTGTTTGATTCTCCTATAACCCGGTAGATAAATGCTTCTAATACTAACACCACCTTCTCATTTAAATTATTTTCTTTTGATTATATACATATTTGTATTATTGAAATAATTTTTAATTACTATTTTTATATTGTATTATGTTCAATATAATTGTTCAATTTTGTAAATTGAGCTTGTCTGTTAAAATATATAAAAATAATAATACTTAAAAATCTAAGTCAGTACAATTTTTAAACTATTAAATTACGAGACATAAATGTCACCCAGTGTAACAATAAATAGCATTTTATATTGAGAATATTATATTCTTATTGCTCAGTGAGAATTTAAAAAATTGTACTGATTTGTTAAGTATGCTAAGAATAAAAAGAATTAACTTTAACCACATTTAAAATCTATTTTCTAATATATATTTTAATATATTTATCAATAAACTTTGTCACAAAAACATCTTATAGTCTGTGAGAATTTCAATTGTTTTTCAAATTAAGTTGCAGGCTACTCCATAATTATATTAAATAATTATTTTACATTTGGCGTAATAGATATTAAATAACATTATTTTTATTGTCAATTTATAAAAATTTATTTACAATATTATAATTTTACAAATATTACTTGATTAATTTTTTATTTTTTATTTCAAAATAAATTTGTTTTCTACATCTTCCCATATCTTTTTGACTAAAAGTCAAAGGTTGATTTCTTGATAAATATTCAGCATACATACATACAAAAACTCCACAATCCCAAAGATTGTTCTGTTTTGGGCATTTTTTTACATTTAATAAAGACCAACCACCAGGTCGAAAATCAACATTTTTTTTGTTTATGTGTTCCATCATTAAATACTTTAAAATTAGCTTGAGGCACATAAAATTACGACCTCCTAAGCTATCATAATACTTAATTGTTTTTTTTAAAAAATCAACATAAACTAAGCACCAATGATTATCCTCTTCTATATGAACTGGAATAAAAAGTTTTTCTTTTGAGAAAATATCTACTTTTTTAGTCCAACGACTAACATGTTGGTATCCTTTGTCTGATAATGCAGAATAAAAAAATGTATTAAATGCATATACTGTTTCAGGGGATCTTTGAGTTATCAAATCCATATATTGGTTAATAATTTCATCATTCAGAAATAAATCTGTTTTAATGTCCCAATTTGCACTAACAGTCTGAAAAAAAAGTATGATCCAAAATAATTTTATTGTATAATAATTTATTTGAGGTCTTATAAAATGTCTGTTAATAAATGGTGCTAATGTGTTTCCTTACCATTTTAAGACTAACATGCAAAACGTGTATCAATACAATTGTAGTTGTCCAATTGTTTGTACAAACAAAACTTCTTAGAAATATTCACAATTTCAATTGAAAGTTTTTAAATGATAATAACCAATTATAATATGAATGATAAATATTTAACAGTTACCAATTTCACATTATTAAAAAGAAACTAACATTCCTAATAATACTAACAACATCCGTCATTAATTTTGGCAAAATCAAAGATTTTGTGAAGAATAATTTTCATTAGTCAGTCATACATTACACTCTTTTTATATTAAAACGGTACAATAAAGATAAATAAACAGCCGTGTGGGTATGCTTCATCAGCTGTTATCTATACTTCAAAATGGCTGTCGAATTTCTCTTTAATGTGTAAATACTGTTACTATAGCAGTGAAAGGCTTTTACTTAATTTTTATCTTATTAATGTTAATATTTAAAAAATATAGGATATTGGTATCAATAATTGGCATTTAACTAAATTATGGAAACTTCGGAGCTGGGACAAATCATATTTGCAGGACTTTTGTACCATGTGGGGAATATAACCGCAGTAAAAATTTTAGCAACGAGTTTTGGTACTAAAGTGTCCGTAGGACAGTAAGCCCCCCCCTAGAGTTTTTGCTTGATCAATTTGTACAAAATGTGCATTTTTTTACTTTTATAAAAATTCATTATGAAAATCAGGGTTATAAGTGTTTTCTTATAAACTTACAATTGTATGTTAAATAATGAAAAAGCACAATAAAACATTTTTTATAAAGCTCAATAGATTATTCATAATAAGTCCTTAAATTTTGAATAAATTTACCAAGTCTTACGTATAATTATAAGCATAAAAAGTACAAAATTTTGGGGTGCAAAATAATATAATTTTCAACTTTTTAATAATATTTTTTATGGAACTATAAATCAAAATATTCAAATGTTAGAGATATTACATATCCAACATAACCCCTAATTTTGCCTAATTTTATCATACTGATTGAATTTTAAGAAACACATCAAAAAATCTAAGAGCTACACTGTAATACCTTAAAGTATCACATAAAAAAATCTACAAAATTCCATAATTTGGATCATTTTTTTTGCTCATCACTTCATTAAAAAAATGAACATTGCAGGTAATGTTAGAAATTGTAACTGTAAAAATATAAGAATATATTATTAATTCATTACACGAAAAAGTGCTATTTTTTCTAAAACTTCATTTATGCCAAAACTATAAAATATAAAATTATTATTGGTTAGTCTCAAAAACACTGATCTACTTCCAAATTGATTAAAAAACTTTACTAAAATTATGTCACAGAACATATGATAGAATAAATATCACAGTCAATTTTTATCTTTAATTATAAAATATAAAATACAATTATTTCAAAATTAATTTTGTAATATATTATTACAAAATAATATATTTTATCATGATGCATAATAGGTTAATTAGACTTCTGACTTTGTACACTATTAAGTTGCATCTCAAGTACATCTTTAATAAAAAATCTGATTCTTGGTGATATTTTAGATCTCATATCTTCAGATGTTAAGTATTCCAAATAGTTAAATATGTCTCTCAAATTAATCTGAAAATTTTTGAATAAATTAAATAAAAAGTATCTAATAGCACTATTTATATCAAACTAAATGTTATTATTACATTCTAAATTTGTATCAATTATAAAAAAATTGATTTCTCTAACTATATTTTACAATAAAAATGAAAAAACTGATATTGATATTTAAAACTTAAATATTATACAAAAATAACATTTATTTAACATAAATACCTTTTGAAAACACATCTTGGTATATTGAGACAATTTATATAATAAATTTAATTTTTTTTATAAGTATCATAGAAGTAAATACCTTTTCATTTAATTCTTTCCCAGCTACTCTTAAGAGATTACAGATATACTCTAGATGTTTTTCATCTTTTTTTTTTTGCAACATACTGATACAATAATGAACAACTGATGGAGGAAGCAGTGATTTTCTAAATAGTTCTCCAATAAACCTTGAAAATATATGAATTTTTTTTTTTATAACTGATTATTTTTATAATTTCAATAGTAATAATTATTTTCAAGTATAACAAAATATATATATTATTTTCAGTACTATTGAGTACCTTCACTATAAAATTATTTATATTTTAAAAAATTAATACATAATACTAATTAATAAATATTATCAACATTTTTTTTTGACAAATTTATTGATTTTTTATAATGAAAAGAAGATAACTTAAGCACAAAAAAATATTTAAGAATATAAAACAATTTTACCTAAGGCAACCTATTGTACGTAATTTTTGTCGTTTTTTTACTTGTTCATGTTCTATTGAAGTATCATTTGTGTTAATATAATCCATACACTCATTTTGAAAATAGTTTTGACATACATTAATAACACATCTTTTAAATGTAATTTCAAATGCACCGTTATTATTTTGAAGAGTAATTCTTATATTAAGAGCTTTGCAAAGTGCAGCATACAGTGAGCCAAATGAATGTTCATCAAATGCCTATGGTAAAAATCATTAAAAATGAATTATCAAGTTACAGATATTTTACAACAGATTTCAATACTTTNAATAATATAGAATCCATTTTACAACAGATTTCAATACTTTATTTAGTAATATAAATTTAATAGCAGATTATTAAGTTTTATTAATATATATAATAATTTTTGGTTAATATTTTATCTAATTATTATATTTAAGATTTTGTAAGTTTAAAAAAAAATTATATTAACTATCTTCATAGAATACTTCATATATTTTATTGTTAAGAATTCACTCTATGTAAAATGGATTCTATATTATTTAAATTTATCTCACTTTGAATGCAACTATTGTAGCAATATTTTCAAGACATTCTTTATTTTCAATTGGCAATTCTTGGAACTTTATTAGCAGTTCATTGAAATTTACCCAAGTGAGTTTATTTAATATACCAAGCACTTTTTTATACAACTGAAAATCATACAAAAAAACATTATGTAAAAAAAATTTTTTAATTTATAGTAATGTGATCAACTATTCAAAAATAATGTGTATATATTTTTTTAGCGTGTATGTCTTTTGACTGGTGTCATTTCTAAATTTATGCTGCTTTAGATGAATATATGTTTGTGTTTTTTATATGAGTTAAACATTTTTAGTATTTTTAGTTTTTATGAAAATTAAAAAATTCTTAATTTTGAAAGGGTATATTTTTTGTGTATCACTACAAATTCTCAGCTACTAGTTGGCTAACTATGCTTAATGATACATTGTATTTATTTGATGATACCACCTTTCAAAATTGAAAAAATTGTCTTCATTTAACATAAAAGGGAGAAATCATCCAAAAAATTAATTTTTAAAATGCCAAATGTTAATTTTTTTTTTCCTTTTAATATTATCATAACATTTTTAAAAATTTTAAAAATTTTTTTTTTTTAATAACACTTTAGATATGTGACTTTCACTTAATACAATTTTTTTTAGAAAATACTATTCTTTCCCTGCCTGTAGGGGGGTTAAAAACATTTTAAAATGTTCCAGAAATCATACAAACTTTATACATATATTTAATTTAAGTTTATTTAATATACTATAAATTAAAAATTAAATTTGTCTCCACAACTTATCTTCAAGCACTGCTCAAAGTTAAAAATATTTTTATTTTCATAATATTACGTGTTTATACTTTAATCCAAGCAGTAAAAATAAAAGTGGGCTGTCATTCCCATTTAAAGAAAATTTCTCCATCAAAAAAGAATAAATAAGATTTAAGTATAGTTTAATATCAATGTTTTTTGGGGGATATTAAAAGGAAGCTTTTGAATCTCTTCACAACTAAAATATGTTTTAGCTAAAATTTCAATTCATACTGAAATTATAATAAACTAAAAAAGATTAAAATAATTGAACTTTCTCTAGCACATTTACATCAAAGTGTTTTATTATAGTGATTTTAATCACTGCTAAATTTCAATTTATTATTTGCTGGGTTGTGTTCTAACTGTATTGATTTTTTAAACATTTTTATAAATATTTTAACTGGTAATTCAAAAGATTCAGTTAGGTATAATACACGGTTGATTAAGGAAAACCAAAGTTATAATATAGGGTAATAGTACCAGTCGTTGACACAATTAACAACTTTTAATTGTTAACTTATACAATTAATTTTATAATTAAGCATGTAATAATAATTTATTGTAACATAATAGATAGTAGAAATATTTTAATAAAGATAATAAAGTAAGCATATCAATATATTAAGTTAACTAGAAATAAAATTGTACATACAAGTATATACCGAGTTTCCTTCCAAACTTGTTCCTCTGAATGAATCTTAAAATTTTTAATTATTTATAAATTAATAAAATTTTATAGTCATACATTTATTATTTTATAATAACAATAAATATCATCATAATATGTATAAGCAACATTTAGATTAGTAAAATAAAAAATATATTTATAAGTTATTATAAACTTATAGCGTAATTAATATTTTCCGTAGATTGTATTTTGTTTTCGCACAATTAAATATTGTTTATTAATTAATTTATCTTTTATAATATAAATTTTTCCCTTATTCTAAACAATGACACTGATTGAAAGCATGCTGTATTATATTGGTAACCAGTAATGAATAGGCAGGTTATTTAATATTATATATAAAAAATATCAGCTACACTAAATATAAAAACTGCGATGTTATACCAATGGGTCTTTTGAGGAAACTAATTTTAAGTTGATTAGGTCAGAATAACTATAATATGTACAAAACTTACATTAATAATCACAAAAAAACTAAAATATAAAATTACCTGTACTCCTATATTTTCATCATAAAATGTGATGGGATTCAATTGAACTGTATACTGCCATGAATGTTTAATTGTGTTTGATTGATCCTAGATAAAATAATCAATATTATTATCTAAGAACATTTTAAATAATGCATATTGATTTATATAATAATTATATGCACTTACATCATTCAAATTTAAAATTTGTAAATTTTCATCATTGATATCATTCTGAAAATGTAACAGCACATTTATATACATATATTTTAAATCTTAAGTCTATATTAATTTATAAAATATGTTAAATTTATTATTAATAATATCTATTTTATTTTAGATATGTATATTTAAAAAAAATTTAGAAACTTAAAACAAAACTAAATGATACTGCATTCTAAATTCACTGTGTAAGAACAAAATTTCTTTTTAATTATTTTTGTATAATAGTAAAACTTTAAAATTTTAGTTACTTCATTAGTTGAAAATGTGCTTAAAATATTGGTCTTATGTCTATTATTAACTACCATTGTACTTTTAAATTATAATAATTTAATGAAGCACAGATAATTATATGTTTTATGAATTTTTCATTAATACTCTTGTTTATATCTCAATATATGAGGCATGATTATTTAAAGAGAACTATTATTAAATGTAGTAAATAATAATATTTACAACTACTTCTACAAAAAAAAATTAACTAAAGTATTGTTTGCGTAGATATGCTAGTATCGTCATAGATAAAATAAAATGTTATCTAACTTAAGGTATCTTGTTATAAAACTAATGATAAATATTATCATTATTATAGTTTAAACGTTTACTACACAGTACGGTTATATATAACCGTGCCATACAATAATGAAAACATAACAAACTGTCATGCGCAAACGCATCACCAAGCCAAAATAAAGATAGCTTAATTCAATAAGTAAGCATTGATGGGCTTGAAAATTCATCAGTATGAATATTCAAGACAAAATAAAGTGGAAAATGGATATATCTCGTCATTTGAATATTTTAGTCTGAGTTATTCACATTGTTGCTAGGTTCAATTAGATAAAGCACATTTTAAGTTTATATAAAATTGTTCATACATATATATGTAAATTGAAAACTACATTGTGATTTCTTCGTTTTAAATTGAAGTTACTTAATAATTGTAGTAAGTCAATAAAATGTCGCTTATTTTTCTTATAAATTTTATTTTTAGTCATATATTATTTAATTAATTATCATATATTTCTCTTGTACAATATATATTGTATTAGATTTATTGTAAAACTTAAATTACTAAATAACTTGGGTAAAATATTTAATTTTTGTTTTAGTAATATTTTTTTAATGAAAATAACACTTCAAATTATTTTAAAATTCTGTGGTAATATTTCTATTTTTTTCATTTACATCATTAAACCCTAATTATAAAAAAAAAATCAATTATGTATCTACTGATGTACTTGTTTATATCTTACACAATAATACAACTATTGTATAAGTGTTAACTCATAATTTTTATTCGTGATGTTTGTTTTATGATTCAATACTTATTTACATTAAATAAGAGGATTAAATTGCTTATATTTTAATTTTTAAAGAATATTAAAATTTTTAATTAATTTAAGATTACTTGCAATTTACCTTTTTGTTTAAATTTTAGGTATTTTGTGTAATAATAACAGATATGAATGGAGAAATACCACCTATCAATCACAATTTGCCAGTGGGGCAAGATTCATACCAGCCTTATTATAGTTACCAACAACATCTTTCTCCCTATACATATCCTCAAAATACCTATGATGAAATAAGTAGCTTACAGCAAACTCAATCTAACAATATGAATATTTACAGTAACAGATCACTATCATATAATAATGGGTATGCTGTTCAATCTAATATTTCTTATATTAATGGATGCCCGCCTACACCTAGAAATTTAACAAATTGTGAATTCAACATGAATGGCTTAGTTCAACCATCATCTGTTGTTTGTTTTAATACATCTCAAACCCCTCAAAATTCTTATAATAATGATTATATAAATAACGGTTTAGTTCAAAATTTAGTTTCTGATAATACTAATTTAACATTAAAAAGGAATTTTAGTCAGATAAATGTAGATACTCAATTTAATAATAAATATTCATCTATTCCGCATTCACTTAATCATCAGTCAAATGTTTACAATAAATTACAACCAGATATTTTTAGAGAAAATGTTAATCATAGACATTCTATTAAAGAGAAACCACAAGAAGTTGATGAGTGGTTTGATTTAACCAAAAAATTTTTGAGTTCTAAGTTAGATACTTCTATTGGAAAACGTTCATGTGAATCTAATCACAATCATACTGATTCCAAATACAGGAGCCATCCTCATCTTTCAAAGCATCATTCATTTAACAAAAGTAAACGTAAAGGTATGAAGACTGCAGAAGAATTATCAGCAGATTTAGAAAAATTATCAAAAATGACTATAGATCAAATAATTAGTGCTGAAAAAATAATTTGGACTCGTTCAGCACCAGCCGATTTATATTATGAAAAACCTGAAGATAATCCTAAAATTACTGTGGCTAGAGATAATGTTTTAAAATTATGTGATGAATTTGATGCTATTTTAGGCAAACGTGCTTCTGCTATAAATGCTTTGAAACCTATTTACAGTAAACCAAGAAAGAGTAATGTCAAAATTCATAAACACAAATGCTCAGGTAATAATTGTTCGGAAGATGATTCTAGTTCTTGTAATGAAAATGATGAAGATGATGAAGATTCTACTATGAAAGAATTAGATAGGAAAAGTGCTCATCCTGATAGACTTCATCCTGAATTATGGTACAATGAATGGGGAGAAATGAATGACGGACCAATGTGTAAGTGTAGTGTCAAGTCTCAAAGATCTGGTATTCGACATAACATTTATGTTGGAGAAGGACCTTTTGAACCTTGTTCTCCTTACTCCAATAATTCCAATAAACTTTATCATTATAGAATCACTATAACACCACCAACTAATTTTTTACTTAAATGTCCAACAATTATAACACATGATAACCAAGATTTTATTTTTGAAGGATTTTCAATACTATCACATTATCCTATTTCAACATTACCAACTTGCAAAGTTATTCGTTTCAATACAAATTATGCAATTTTATATGTTGAAGAAAAAATCCCTGATAATTTTATCATAAAAGAATTGCAATTATTTTATGATTATTTATTTAAAGATATTTTAGAATTAGTTGATTTAGATTTGCATGCTGTTGAAAATAAAAATGGCTGTCCTCAATTCCATTTTATGCCTCGTTTTGTTCGAGATCTTCCTGGAAATGGAAAAGAAATACTATCAATGAATGAAGTTTTAAAATACCTTTTAAATAACAATAAATTGCTATTTGAAGAACATAGTCTTCCAGAATTAAAAAACATGTCTATGTATGAATGGCAAAATATTGTTGATGAATACAAAGGCATGGTAGTTACCAATCCTGGATCTAAACCCTGTTCAATACGCGTGGATCAATTAGATCGAGATGCTGTCAATGAAACAAATGAAAAAAACTGTAATGATGGATATCCTGTTATAGTTCATTTTGGCATCCGACCTCCTCAATTAAGTTATGCTGGAAACCCAGATTATCAGAAGGGATGGCGTGATTATGTAAAATTTAGACATCTTTTGGCAAATATGCCCAAACCATCATTTGAAGATAAGAGAAAATTAGAAATTAAAGAAAGAGCTTTACAAGAGATGAGATCTCATAATAAAATGAAACGTGGTGTGACTGCTGCAGTGTCTAGTAAAGGATTTTATAAAACTGGTCTTATGTGTGATATTGTACAGCATGCAATGCTATTGCCAGTACTTGTATGTCACTTTAGATTTCATAAATCATTAGAGTATCTTGAGAAAACTCTAGAGTATAAATTCAAAAATAAATACTTATTGCAACTAGCATTAACACATCCATCATATAGAGAAAACTTTGGTACAAATCCTGATCATGCCAGAAATACATTAACTAATTGTGGTATTAGACAGCCAGAATACGGGGATAGGCGTATACACTACATGAATACACGGAAAAGGGGTATTAATACTCTTATAAATATAATGTCTCGGTTTGGCAAAAAATCAGAAATGGAATCAAATATTATGCATAATGAACGTTTGGAATTTTTAGGTGATGCTGTTGTTGAATTTGTATCTTCTATTCATCTTTTTAATATGTTTCCTGATATCGAAGAAGGTGGCTTAGCAACATTTCGTGCAGCAATAGTTCAAAACCAGCATCTTGCTGTTTTAGCAAAAACACTAAAACTTGATGATTTTATGCTATATGCTCATGGCTCAGACTTATGTCATGATTCTGAACTCAAACATGCTATGGCAAATTGTTTTGAAGCTTTAATGGGAGCATTATTTTTAGATGGAGGAATTGATGTAGCTGATCGTGTTTTTGGAAAAACATTTTTTCATGATTCACCTGAACTCCTTGATATATGGGTTAATTATCCAAAGCACCCATTACAACAACAAGAACCTAATGGTGATCGTAAATGGATAAAAACTTTACCTTTACTTCAAAAATTAACTAAGTTTGAAGATTCTATTGGTATTAAGTTCAACCACATAAGATTATTAGCTAGGGCATTTACTGACAGAAGTGTTGGTTTTACAAATTTAACTCTAGGTTCCAATCAACGTCTTGAATTTTTAGGTGATACTGTTTTACAATTGATTGCGTCAGATTACTTGTATAAATATTTTCCAGAACACCATGAAGGTCATCTTTCTCTTTTACGTAGTTCATTAGTAAATAACAGAACACAATCTGTGGTATGTGATGATTTAGGAATGGTAAATTATGCACTTTATGCTAACCCCAAAGCTGAACTTAAAACTAAAGACAGAGCTGATTTGTTAGAAGCATTTTTGGGAGCTTTGTACATTGATAAGGGTCTAAAGCATTGTCAAGCTTTTTGTAATGTTTGTTTTTTTCCTCGTCTTCATGACTTTATATTAAAACAAGATTGGAATGACCCAAAATCAAAATTGCAACAATGTTGTTTAACATTGAGATCTGTAGATGGTGGTGAACCTGATATTCCTGTTTATAAAGTTATAGAATGTATGGGACCTACCAATGGAAGGAAGTATACAGTGGCTGTATACTTTAAAGGAGTTAGATTATCACAGGCAACTGGGCATAGTATTCAAAGAGCTGAAATGAATGCTGCAAACAGTGCTTTGGAGGTTTCTAAAGATTTGTTTCCACAACTAGATCATCAAAGACGAGCAATTTCGAGAAGTCTAAGACATCAATGTAAATCATCTGATGGACAAACAAATATTGATGATATTATAAAGATATTAGAATCCAAATCATTAAAAAACGAAACAAAAATGAGCAAATTAGATTGGGCCAAAAGAAAACTCCAAAGAAAACTATTAGCAGTTTTATGTTCTAATAAAATAGAAGATAATGAAGAAACCGATGAACCAAAAAAGAAAAAACAAAAAAAAAATTAATAAAGAAGGCAATCTTTGTGGTTTTACGTTTTAGTGTAAATTGTTATTTTATGTTATTGTTTCATTACACCTAAATGTGAGACCTCGACGATTGTGTCATAGTTGCACTGATTAAATACTCATATTTTTAATCTTATGTTTCTAACTATATTATAAATTATATAAAGCATACATCTATATTTATGTGTGTAATAAATCGCCTGACTAGTTGTTTATGAATTAGTACTTAAATAAGCATACAATTAGTCTTTATTAATAGATTATAAAAAAATAACTAGTCTTTTATGATTTAATATAAATATTACTAGCCATCTTTAAATTGAATATTATAATGTATAGATTTTATTATCTAGGATTACTTTTTCTGTTTGTTTATTTATTTTTTATTATATTTTTAAACTCATTATTCCTTACTTAAAAATGATTGTAACAAAAAAAAAAAATAGATTTACAAATCTTAAGATAATTTAGTAGTTTTAAATTGACCATTTAAAAAAATCTAATCATGGGTCAAATATTCAGTTTAATTTATCTATAATTACTTAATAATTTATTTAAAACTCAGTTTTGTCATATTTATGTGCTCGGGGTATCAGGGTGTTTCCTAACAATTTATTTTAAATTAATTTTTGTAAACATTGTTTTAAATTTGCTAACCTTTATTGTATTGTTTCAGAACTATAATGACGTTTTTATTTTTATAAAAAATTATAATTTAATACATGAAACTCACTAAAATAATGTTTTTATTTAATGTTTAAAAAAAAAAAAATTTTTTTCTGTGTATTGCATTAAAATAAAAAAATAATGTATTTATGTTATAATAGTATGGCTGATGTATATATTCAAAACATTTTTATCCAAATTTATCATTATAATTCAACTTAAATATTTTATTAACTAATTGTTGTTACTACTTTTTGTATTTTCATTTTTTTTTTGCAAATCTACTACATTAATAATAAATATTGCAAATTTTTGTTTTGTTTATTAAAAAAAATATTGAGTAATACGATTATTGTAATTTTTGTAAGCAAAGTACTTATATTATTTCATACATGAATTTTATCTATTTTTTTTAATGTAAATAAATTTCAACACTTTAAAATGCTACCAATATAATTTTAGACTTGGTATTATTTAATAGTATATAATTATTAAATGTACTATTTTTATAGGGTTCTTATATTCATACAATTTAAATTTGTTTTATAATCTTTTGAAGAAAATGTTATTGCAAGTTATTAAATGTACTTCTTATAAAAACAATAAACAACTCTCTTGAACTTGATAAGCAACAAAAATTTAGAAGTAAGAAAAACTATTTTTAAACATTGAAAAATACGAAAAAAAACAAAACTTTTCTCTAAAATAATAAAATATTAAGGAAGTATTTTTTTAAGCTACTACGAGAATAAAAATTGCCCAAGATAAATTAAAATACTAAGTATTTCTAACACTTATATAAATATTATAAACAAAAATAATCTTTATCAATATTATATTTCTGATAGCTGCATATATTTGTTCAATGCACTAATACCCTGTGTGTTATAATTATCTAGTAGTGTTTTTATGTTTTTTGGATCTCTTAGTAACTTGTATTTCTACCAAAAATAATCATAATTTTAATACTCAATGATTGAGTTAACGCTATGATAACAAAATGTTTAACTTAGAGCAATATCTCATTCTATGCATTTTTCTAATGCTTCTTGTAGAAAGTTAAAAAGGGTATTTGTAACACCAATTTAATTTTTAGTAGTTGTGACAAAAAAAAAAATTTTATTTATTAAATACAAATTAAATTATGTTAATCAGTCTTATTCATAACATTATTAAATCCATTTCTTATATATTATTAAATACAAATATGGCACAAAAGATAACTAAAATTCAATATTTAATAAATAATTATGATAAAACTATAGTGAATAATACAGGTTGTTTGAATAAAAAATACTTAGGAATTAAGATTAGACTAGTTAATAATATACACTGAACATTTATGACTAATGTGATTTTTATCAAAATAAATAAATATAAAAAAATGTTTTAATGCAAATTTTATGTAAGCTCTAATTTGTAATCAGCATTTTTAGAGTAATGATTAAATATAAGACAAATAAATTAACCAAAAAATCTGAATTTGATGAATAATAAAGTTAATAATAAAATGTGAATAAGTAAATATTTAATTAATAAGTGTTGTTGTTTGATATATAAATTGTTGTTATATGTATATTTAATTAGAATATATAATAATAAAACTTTGATTCAATAAGAATTACAATGAATATGTCATACATAATTTTTTTTTTTAATTTAAGGACAATTATTGTAAATTTTTATAAAAAAAAAAAAAAAAAAAAA